GTTGCAAAGTTGAACCAAGATCATGTGAGCGCAGGCTCGAATAAATAAACATGTGCAAATATTAAACTTCAACATTTTGACTTTGTCAATTTCAGGAGACTATGTTTCCGCATCGATATCAACTTCTTCCTACACCCATTCGATGTCACCTAGTTTCACCCCTTCTTCTGACACAACCAACAATCCTTCCACGTCGTCAACATTTTTCGATAGCAAACCTCGCATGATCCTAGCAATAAGGCATTCGCAGTTCAACTCAAAGTCTGTACCGCAGTAATAAGTATATCTACCCCCGAAACCAAGACCCCCAATGAAGATCCTGATGATGTCGTAGATGAAGGCTGTGTTTTTTTTCCTGATGTTGATGTATACTGCCTTATACAGGTGCACAATCCTGATGCGCCTCCCACATCTATACAAGGTGACACCTTCTCGAGTCCACTGGATCCTTTGCTGATATAAAATACTAATTGTTAGATTTGCGTGTCGCGCAGGTTCGTGCAGTCTTCACTTTGCCACAAACATTATTAACACGGTATTTCAACCCTCAGAACCCTCTACCTTAGCATCTCGCCTATGTCGAATGGTTTTCGACCTTCAGCGCTTTACCAGATCCACAGTCTGGGTTGTATAAGGTCAGGCGGGTGGTTCGTGATGGCGAACACCAAGTGTCAATTGTGCCCATATCTTTAATTTGTTGAAGTGCTCACTTATTGCCTAAGTGGGGAGGAGCTGTTCCTATAGGATTTTCGGTAGCTTGAAACACGGTGAATCGGTTGCAAACTCGTCAAGTACTACACGGAAAATCTACTACTGTATGTACTCCGACACTTTAAGGTTTCAGCCACTCGGCTATTTCCGAGTCACGCTCGTCAAGCAAATTCTAAGTGCAACAGTTCCTGCAGAGTGGACGAGTTTAGATGTTCTCGATGCATGCCCCTCATTTCTTTTGAACATTTTCAAAGACATGTACACTTACTTCAATTAGGATAGGACACGCATCGTGAACATGTAGTTTTACATGGTGATAACTGAAAAAAACTGAGTAAAGTCAAGTAAAACAATGTAAAGTCGAGCAAAACAATGTAAAGTCGAGTAAAACAATGTAATGTTGTGGATATATGGGTAATTCCCTGGGGAGGTTTTTCCTGATGCTCACTGCATGAAATCACTTCCCCGACATTGTTACTTTAAATGTTACCAAATAGGGCCAAGCAGAAAAAGCAGTGAGAACTGCGCAACTGTTCCTCACTTTCTATCATGACCAGTGTCAGAGCCCAGAAAATATATGGACGGTGGACTAGCTATAGGGGTTCCAAGGGCATAGGCCACGCACCAACTTGGAGTCCTATCGGCTGTTTCCTTAGCTTAGTCAGCACATAAGTCAGCATGTTCGTAGTGTACATCATCATCCATCCACCTCGGTTCTAGTAGCAGCGTGGTCCCTAGCAGTCGGCACTGCTCCAACGGTTTACCCTAACGAGCATAATGATTTTTGAATCCCCTGCAATGCCGTCCACTGAAGAAGCTCCACCACCTACCCAACTTATTGCATCCCACACCAGATCTGGATCCGTCATTCCTCCGTGAATCCGCCGATAATAAAGAGCGTGCAACGAAGGTTTTCGACTTGGCCGTCGGTAAATGCGAGACAAGGGATGCTGTGACTGTGCTCACAGATCAAGCGACACCAAGGATTTAGCTGGGCTACTCAAGATCGAGTTCTCAGCTGCTGGTGTGTAGTTGGAAGAGGACGAGCGGATTTACGTTCATCCTAAGGTCCCTTACAAGATCAGTCAGTCTTCCCCAACCCCAATCGCACAAAATCAATACTCATGGAAACCTGAAGCGCGCTGAGATGTCCTACAATCTTCCCGTCAAGTACGCAGTGAGGTCAATGTTGTCGAACTCGCATCTACGAATCACCCTCGTTTGTTATTTGAAACGGGGCTTCGCGTGAGGACGTGAATGCTTCTCATGGATGCTCGCGTCGAGCTTCTCATGTCGTCTGATGCGGTTGCAGAGTGTCTTTACAAGGTGGGCTTTCCCCTTCCCGTTGATGTGACACGTTGGACTGACATTCAAATAGAGGGTAGCAAATTACTTCAGCATTTGGCTGCCGAACGGTGAGGCACATACAGATATCGTGTGGTACTATCACATGCCGCAGCTTGAGTGTAGTCAGATGGCGAGTTATGTTGCTTTCTACGATGAAAAGGTCGATGTATGGATTGATGGCAAGACACAAGGATGATTTTAGGGTGGTTAGTGCATGTGAAGGCGTTCGTTCTTTATTTTGTTCAACAGGGAGACACGAATGCAAATAGTTTCACAATCGTAACTGTAGCGCTACGCGCATTCTATGTAAAATTATACCACGAAGGCCGTGACGGCTCGATGAGCGAGAAAGACATTCCTGAGTCCATATGGACCCGCCACCGTCTTATTGAATACTGTGAATGAGTAAAATGGCAACATCGCACACCAAACATAGCTAGAAAAACAACCAGTCAGTGTAGTTCCAACGGCCACACCGACGCACCCAGGAACGGACATGCAAGCACCAGCACCAGCGATGTGTAGAAATCGAAAATCTTCTGATGTCAGATTGTGGACATGATGGCGACTTCGAGACAGGGAGGGAGAATATCCCCATGTAGGTTTGGAGCTGGGTGGCAGAGAGCGCCTCCTGCACGTAGTGGGACTTTGAAATCGATTGCGTGGATGCGGCCAAGACGTCCTCAACAAATTTGACTATGGCGTCGACGAGTGTGAAAGATATCGACATTTGGGAGGTGCTTGTGAGTGTGCTCCAGGCAGTGGTCGTACTCTGGGAGATCGAAGAGCATCCAGGAAGCGGAAAATTCTATGATTTTTGAAGGGCTCTGTACTAGATAGTCCCACGAGTTCGCGCGTCCCTAGAGTTCGCGCATTGGCTTTAGCACACGCAATTCTGCACGGAATCCTTATGTATGTTACATATAGGTTCCTCCCAACATAATACACATGGCCATGTATTTTGTTTGACAAAAAATGAAGCGGATCTCGTGCCATGGTCGAGTTATGGGTGTTCGAGGCTCATTTTGTGCATAGATGACTCCCTCCAAAGGTCAGATCACCACGGAAAAATCTGGGATGTGATATCATGGTTCTACATGATTATACAATGCTAAAATAAATTTCTCCGGGGCCACATGCTTGTCAGAATCATCCGCTGTGAATGAAATACGACCCAGACGTGACAATCTATCCAAAGCGTTATAATGACTGCACGCATCCAAACTCCGCCGTACCGAAATGCGGCACAAAAACACCAATGCAGACTTTCAAATGGTGCGGAGTGTGAAAAGGCATGGCGGCAAACGTGTGACATGGTGTGACAAAATGCGCGAACTCTAGGGAAAACTCACCTGGCCTTCCCAATAAGTAAGCCTTATTAAGCTTGGTGATTACGTGTCTCACCAAGTTTACTAAGGCTTGGATGTTGTAGTTCCCCAACACCAGTGTTAAATCACGCCCCAAATACCCATTTTACCTTACAGCTCTTCTCTCTACCCCGCCCAAAAGAGTAAGCCCTGTTCGGCTATACATCCCGCCCTCTCCTAGCGGCCGGCACTTCCCGCAACCCCCGACTTATTCCAAACCTTGTGAAAGGGCGGGCGGCTTCCCACGCCCTTTCCTCCTTTCCTCCACACGCACAACGTTCCAGGGCGGTACAACGCACGATCGCCGACAACCCAAGTAACCGGACACCACCCCAGGCACTGCCCTACCCCCTCCAACGTGTTTGTTCTCTGTCAATACCACATCCTGCCGCCATATCTGCCTGCACGCTGTCCTCCTCGTCCCCGCTACACTCCAATCACACTATCCGCCATGCCCCGCGGAACGGGGGCTTCTAGGCTGAAAGGCCTCTCAAGGTCAATCATATCCCATCACTTCAGAGGGCGTCATCGCCAGACACGCGTGCTGACAGCCGGCAAGCAAGGTCAGCGTATCGAAGCAGCGGCAGCAAGCCGCCAGGCCCAGTTCCAAGGTATCTGGCATATTTCCTTCTTTCTATCACTATTATACTAATTTATTACACAGAGATGTCTGCTGAGGACCGTGAGATGGTTGAAACAATGATGGTGGACTATGGTATGGATCTCGACCCACTACCGTATACTGCGCCCCCAGGAGACGAAGGCTTGGACATGAGTCATGCAGGAGGTGAATACGAAGCGTTCGAGGGGCTCGCTCATGAAGTCGCTGGGATCAGTGGATGGTATGTGTCATTTTTTCGTTGCCCACAGTTTCTCGTTTACACTTGGGTTCTAGCCGCTATGTAGACCCTCGTACTCGCTCCGACCGTATTGAAAACGAGACTGATCACTGGAACGTTCAAATGGACCTACTCGTGGAGGCGTATTTAGACTACCGCTGCCGTGACTCAAGAGGCGGTGTGCCACACAACGGAATGCCTCCATCACCTTCGGATCATGATGGTCAACGTGTTTCGCTGAGCGAAATTGAGCTCATCGACATCTTTGGTACGTATCACCCTTGTTATTTGTCATCGCTGATGTATTTGCGCAGGGCGAAGGCGCTCGTCCCTTCAATCACAGCCCCACCACCACTATCCTAATGAAGCTTTGATCTACCATGGCTATCTTGGGTGCACACCGTTGTATCCCACTGTCGCTATTTCTCTGCGCACTCTAGCTGCATACCGCCAGACACACCGAGTATGTCCTACATTCAGTTTTCAAGCGCAGTGCAAAGCACTGTGCTTTCTTCATGATGTAGGCTTGTCGCTCATCTATTATGTCAACTTATGATGAGATTTTGACAGATCCCTTACCGACCTTACCTCACTACCCAATTATCGGCTGCTTTCGACATCTATCTACAAATTCTTCAGCGCATCGATCAACGTCTTCGCACAGCTCTGAAACGCGACACGCCTAATTGGCGTCTTCTAAATGCATGTCCAGCATGCTTTTACAAGCTGGAGGACGAGCCCGACCTTCCTTTTGACTGGCTTGTAACAATGGACGGCAACAACAGTTTGAAGAGGTGGGACTCCACGATATACGGGACAAATGCGCGACTCGACTCTCGTAAGGTCCAGTCAGATATTTGGATTGATCCGGACACTGTCGACAAATTCAACGGCGAAGTCAGAGGGCATGCGGTGAGTATTGAGTAATTGTACCCGAATTTTCTCACTATATTGTATAGGCTATGTCTAATCGAGGCGATGATGCCTTAATCGATGATACGACAGCGGAAACTAACCCTGCTCCATTCAGCTGTGCAGATCGATGGAAAAATGCGGGCCCAGAAATGCGGAAGAAAATGTTTTCTGTCTTTGACGAATCGGGCATCTTCATTGCGGCATGCCGCCATCGTTTGGTGCTTTTAGGCTGCGACATGATCCGAAGTGGTGAATTGTAAGTTTGTCGCTAATCAATTGAATTTCATTTACTACTAATGTATTAGGGCGAAATATCCGCTTGCTATGATTGACAAGCTTCTTGCTGTCTATGGCAAGGGCGGCGCTTGTGCTTATGATATCGGGTGCGCATTTACGAAGACACTAAGTAATAGTTCTTTAGGGTCGCGTGCACACCAGCTTGGATTTCGTCTTATGGTCGGGGCCTTTCATGGGCACGCTCACAATCGGAAATGCCAACTCGACTGGCATCCACTCTACATTTCTGGAACCGGACACAGCGAAGGAGAGGGGTGCGAGCACATATTTTCAGCATCGAACGCACTCGCTCGTGGCACCCGGCATGCAAGCACGTTTCATCGGCATCAGACAATCAATCAACATTTTACGTTTTGGAATGACGATAAATACGCCGCTCTCAGTAAGTTTTTCCCTGTGTCTCAATCATAATGCTAATACACATTAGGCAATTTTCTCTGGAACCACTATCGCGAGGCTTTGAAATCAGTTCAGACACTCACCGTCGAACTGTCTGCCATCAAAGCTGAGCTGGATATTACTGATGACGATTTCCCTCGGTACATACTTCAAGAACGCGCTTATCTGGATGGTTTGAAACAGCCGCCTACGAGAGACCAAAATTGCATCCGATACGTTGAGGCACTCGATGAATTAGCCGAACGAAAGTTAGTCGTCCATTTTGTCTGCTATGTAATTGTTTTGTTGCCAACATTAACCAACTCAGGACTGATTGGGATTCCGCGCGTGAATTAGCCAACAATGCTCTTACGGAAATTGCAACCGGCAGCTTGGAGCGGATCAATGAAGCCCTAGCCCAAGCTCGGATTCGCGTTGATTCGTCTTACGCCAAGTTACAGCATGCTGAAATGCTAGTGGTGCACATTGAACTCCAACTCGCTGTAGAGGGACGGTGGGAGATAGGCGGTGATGAATACAACCGATTCAAGATGGAAGCTTGTCTTGGCAAGTACCGCACCGCACTCGATGATTTGGAGCGGCTCGTAGTGATGCGATTGTTCGAGCTTTCTAAATTGTCATTGTCGGGGACAGGTGAGTTGCTTATTGAGATTCAGTTTCTCTCTAATATTTTTTCTAGGGTACAAGTTACGTCAACAGATCGGCAAGGCTTTGCAACGGCGTTCGGAAGCCATTCGAAATGCGATCAATCGTTATAATATTCAAGCTATAGCCCTAAATCCCCCGCGTCCGAAGATTTCATGGAAAGATATCGCTGACTATAGCTTTCTGGGCGAGTTCGATCTTTTACGACACTCACGCACCGATATTCGCAGCGAGGATTGGGCCAAACCAGCCCATCGAGAAGCAACTACAAAATACTTCAAGCTTTGTCGAGCACATGAAGAGATCACGCGACTTAATGTCGAAATTCGTCGCTTACGCACCGCTATTCATGCTGAACAAGTCCAAACAACTGCCGTGATAGAGGATCTCCGTCTTTCGGACCCGAAACTTGCTGAGGAGTTGCAGCGCCAATGGTGTTCGCGTGCCGCCATCAACGCTGTCCATTTGCATCGCTTAGATCGCATTGAATGCCTCACTGGATTCTCGGGTGTCAGGGGTGTTGGCGTCCGTGTCCAACTTAATTCGACAACACCTGATATCCCCCCCGCCCAGAATCTGTCAACGACCCTCAATGCCCACATGGAGTCAGGCAAGCTTATTCCCCCCCGCCCCCCAAATTTTCATGCTTATTTATTTTCATCTCGCTGCAGATGACATTAGCGCAATTATTAGTTCTGACTACACTGACATTGAAGCTATTGATCGCGAGGAGCACGGCATAATCACAGAGGATATGGCTGACTTTTTACATTCTATCGTTGACTAACGCGCGCATGTTGTCTTTTCGACATGTACTTATTATACATGTAGTTGAATACATCTCAATGACTATTGACAGTTCTGCCTCACAGCCTACTTCAACAACTCTCATCCCCGCACAGTATGAGTGTCATGAACCAGTACCCACCACTGCATATTTCAACGACTCTCATCACCACACAGCGAGTGTCCATGCCCGCCACTGCATACTTCATCTCATTGCCGCACAGTACGAGTGTCATGAACCATGCCCGCCACTGCATGCTTCAACGACTCTCACAGTATGAGTGTCATGAACCATACCTGCCGCAGCATACTTCAACGACTCTCATTGCCGCACAGTACGAGTGTCATGAACCTGCCGCTGCATGCTTCAACGACTCTCACAGTACGAGTGTCATGAACCAATAGGTTAAATGAAATGTACCAATACACAGTAGTACGAGTTTCATGAACTGATACCTGCCACTCCATACTTCAATGACTCTTCACAATACGAGTGCATGACACTCGTATTGTGAAGAGTCATTGAAACCAATACCCACCACTGCATACTTCAACGACTCTTGACATCCATCCCCGTTGCATAGCCGACTGTAATGACTCTCATCGGCGCACAGTACAAGTGTCATGAACTAATAAGTACATGCTGTAGTGGCCACAGTGAACTGCTGGTATGATTTGCTGCAATCAAGTATACTCCTGTAATTGAATCTACTACTAAGCAATGTTCGTACCAAGTCCTAAATTGGCAGTGTGTGTTGCACCGTACATAGAACACATTGTCATTTCATGTACCCTCAAACAACCCATCGCCTCAATGGTACAAGCTCATTTAGCCTTGTTTTTGGAGACGGACTATTCTGCCAACGTGTTCACATTTCTGTTTGCCAACCAAGGTAGAGTCCACATAAATTGACTTTGTGCAGTGTTAAAGTTGTTCACTGCGCGTTATCTAATCCTTTAGTACTAGCCCATTTATGTTCCAAATTCATTACATCCGCTACTAGTACAACTACGCTCATGTCTCCAACAACCATGCAGTCCGATACTGGAACACAGAGTCCACACCGGTTCACAATGTCTGGTCTCGCTGCGCTACATTGCTCCACTTTTGCTCAAGGTTTCAGTAACAATGAGCGTCAGGCTGCCGCCAGAGCATTACTTAGGCATGACGTCCAGATAGACGGCACTCATTATCAAACCAAGACATTTGCTGGCCTTCATCCCTCATACATAGCATTCCAACCCATCCAACAGCACGAGTCAGAGAGAACTCTCTCTCAGAAAGAACTATGCGAGGCAGCACTGCAAGACGTGTTCGATGCGGTGAGTGAACTTGTTTTTTTCATGGCTCAATCTCATATTCTTTAGATCACCATGCAGGACCGTCTTGACGGCGGTATCTCTCTACTTATTCGATGCGCAGGATCTGACGCAATCTCACCGGAGAAAATTGCTTTGGACCTCTACATTACACCCCGAGAGCTGCATGAAGCGCCTCAGCAGATTGGAGGAGACGTCGCTGTATTAGTTCAAGCGTTTGCTCAAGAATTCGCAGTCCCCCATCTCCAGCGTTTCACTAAGCGTTGTGCCATCGAAAAGATCCAGCCACCGAAGTATTGTAAGTTCAATTGATTTTTTCCCATTTTCAACACCACTAACATACCCTCGAAGTTCCCGCTGCTCACGTTAACACTGAGGGTCCACAATACCTCCCTGGACCTGTCGTTCCTACTGGGGCTCGTATTCTCTGCTCCGCGCAGGCACCCAAATCCTTCTTGAAGAACTTGCAAAATTCATCCCCTGCTGTTGCAGGCTCAAAGCAGCCGAATTCGGCAGCGATTCGTGAGGGAGCCGAATGGGCAGCGAAAGTTGCCACCAAAGTTGCCACCAAAGTGAACCCATTAACTCCACGTTCGCAAATTCGTCAACGCCGGCCAGCGGATGTCTTCAATGCCAATAGCGACCCTGGCCCGATTTTTTCGGGACAGCCATTGACAGAACTCTATCGTGATGTTCACAAATTTGAACCCCCATTGATTAGTATCGGACCCAATACTGACACTGCCCTCGACCAGTTCAAACTGGGAGACGACACATTACCTAAGCTACGTCTGTTGGTTTCAACAGTGCGTAGCAGTCGGTGGGAGTCAGTCTTTAGGTCCCAGAAATGGGATTTGACCTATGAGCAAGCTTCGGTTTTATCAAGGGCGCTTCTCGCAGACCTTCGAGGAATGCCACTCAACCATGAGATTGTCGAGGTTAGTGGTATATTTATAGGTGGCGCATATTTGCATGCTAATCGATCACTAGCGTAAATCGTCTGTGCTCTCCGTCATTCTAAAGTGGCTTGCTATTTTGGTCTTTTTATGTGCGCTTTACCTCTTTGGATTGTTGATACTATTGTAGATCACGTTGGACTTCTTAGTTTGCAACACTGTGTCAATTTACTGTGGGATCTTATATCGTGGATCAGAGAGACAATTTAATGTCTCCGTGTGTTAAATATTCAGACTCGCGTGCTACTTGTGCTGACTTGTTTTCGCTTCCCCTCCTGCAGACAATGGTGTCCCGATCTTTCTATACTAGCAAGAATGACTCGAGGCGTGTTCGAACACAACACCCTCGCATCCGTCCAAAAGTCACCATGAGCAAAGAGGCACGCGCCACGCTTACTGCTGGACGACGTGCCAAATCTCGTCAGTTTAAGGTTGCTCTTGACGAGGCTTGGAACCAGCTCGACGACGCAACGAAGACCATTGCATCAGCCCACCACAAGAGCATTCGCCGGGTACAAAATGATTTATATATTGGTCATGGAATACTACGCTCGAGGCGCACCAAACCGAATATGTGGAACGCGTTCTGCTGGAAAAAAGGTCAAGACAGTGAGAATCGTAAGTCTGGTTTTTTCCTCACACTTTGAACGCACTAATACTATGTCTTACAGGGAACCAGGGTCGAGACACGCTCAAACAACTAGTTCGCGAGCATAAGGATGAGTATCTTGCACTCTCGAAGGAAGAACAAGAAGTCCTGCTGAAGGAGTATACCGACTGGACGAAGACGAAGACGACCGGCACACGGATCTCCACCAAGTCCAAGATTATCGATATCACACAGACCTTAAAGGCTGTGGAGAATGAGGTACGTTTCCCCCTTGATTTTTTATTTCACAGTTTGACTAATACTATTAATTAATACTAGCTCAATAGCCTGCGTTGTCGAACGGGTGCAGAAACTATCCTATACACGACCCGTGGGTCAACCGATCTTCCCCTCCGTGGTGTAACCTTCACGACCGAAGGTGTTGAGCACTTCATGCACTCTGTGATGAGTATTGACAATCAAGACTTGGTCAGTAAAATGGAGGGCTTCGCCATCCAAGGAATGAAAGGTATGAGCAGCTTTTTTTATTTTGTTTTGTCACGCTAATTTAATCTTCAACCAGGGGCCGCAAAAAATCACAAAGATCGTGTCTCTGATGTACGTTCAGCCATCCGCGAGATAATCAACAGTGGTCTTCGTAAGTTTTTCCCCTTCTCCGTGAAGTATTTGCTTAACACTAAACTATAGGGAAGATTACTGGGGAACCTCGTGCCAACATGCAGTGGACTCACTATTTCCGCAACATCGTGCGACGTTATCAAGTTACAATAGTGGGATGGCCCGACAACATCCCATTTGTGAACCTTAGCAAAGTCTCTAGCGCTCTCCCAGAGCTTGAAAGACTTTTTCATTTGTGGGATACACGTATTACATTCTGGAAGACTTTAACGGATGAAGAATTCGCGAAGATCTGTCAGGAGCACAATGAGAAGCTCAAGAGTGGCGAGATCGAAGACATTCACCGACGGACTCGATCCGACAAAGGGACGAAGCGCAAGAGGCTGGCAGCTACCAATAGTAACGACAACACAGCTCAGCGCAAGAAATACAAAAGTGCTGAGACTATCGAGGACAGTGACGAGGACAACAACGAGGACAACAGCGAGGACAACGGCGAGGACAATGGTGGGGAGACAACTCCCCAACCCTCTCCTCATCAGCCGTCTAATGCTAACACTACTCCCAACCTCACCTTCGAGCCATCCGTCACCACTCCCAACTTCACCTTCGAGCCATCCGTCACCACTCCCAACTTCACCTTCAAGCCATCTGACGCCGCTCCCAACTCCTCCACTGCCCACGCAGCTGGGAGTTCCCTTGACGCCAACACTCATTTTACCTTTCCTCCTTATGTGCCTGGCAGTCCCCTCGATGGCGACAATCATCCTAATGGCCTTACTCAACTTGGCGCCTTTGATTGTGATGCTGCGTTGGAAACATTAGATCGAATCTATGGCCCTGCGCCGTCATCATCAACTGATGTTGACAATCCTGTGTTTGACTTCACTAATATCAATATGTTCGGCTCGACATTTTAACTCACAGTATCTTTCTTCTTCAAAGCCTTTCAGGGCACCGTCTTTTTCTACCTGTTCAAGTCTATACTTTGATACCTGCATTTTGTAGATGATTTACTGTTCACGCGTGTGGTAGTGGTGGCATAGTGTATATTTTATTGACGAGGCAAAAAAAGGGTAATATTGGCAATGTAGTCTGATTTACCTGGTCCTGTATCCCCTCCCTAAGTTCTATGCGAGCGCATGTACAACACCATAGTCCACGACCATCGTTTCAACCATCTCACGGGTCCTAGGCTGAGCATCTGTATAATAAATTAGTATACGAGTGATGAAAAGGAGTAAATATACTAGATACCTGCCGCTGCTTCGAGATGCTGGGCCTGCTTGCCGGCTGTCAGCACGCGTGTCTGGCGGATAGTGTGATTGGAATGTAGCGGAGACGAGGAGGACAACGTGCAGGCAGATATGGCGGCAGGATGTGGTATAGACAGAGAGCAAACATGTCGGAGGGGGTAGGGCAGTGCCTAGGGTAGTGTCCGACTACTTAGGTTGTCGGCGATCTGATTGGAATGTAGCGGGGACGAGGAGGACAGCGTGCAGGCAGATATGGCGGCAGGATGTGGTATTGACAGAGAACAAACACGTTGGAGGGGGTAGGGCAGTGCCTGGGGTGGTGTCCGGTTACTTGGGTTGTCGGCGATCGTGCGTTGTACCGCCCTGGAACGTTGTGCGTGTGGAGGAAAGGAGGAAAGGGCGTGGGAAGCCGCCCGCCCTTTCACAAGGTTTGGAATAAGTCGGGGGTTGCGGGAAGTGCCGGCCGCTAGGAGAGGGCGGGATGTATAGCCGAACAGGGCTTACTCTTTTGGGCGGGGTAGAGAGAAGAGCTGTAAGGTAAAATGGGTATTTGGGGCGTGATTTAACACTGGTGTTGGGGAACTACAACATCCAAGCCTTAGTAAACTTGGTGAGACACGTAATCACCAAGCTTAATAAGGCTTACTTATTGGGAAGGCCAGGTGGTAAATGCGAACCTATTAATACTTCTGTCACACCGGCCTCAGCCAGACGAACATCCGAACCTATCATTATGTAATGTCACACCGGGACCCCCACGAACCTAAGGTCGAATGCATACAGTACTCCGTTGACGGGAAAGAAGCCAAGTGAAGAACTGCTTGTGTGCTAAGGGCTCCCGTCCTAAGATAGACGAGCTCCCGCAAGCCATACACACAGAGGCTCGCATCATCGTGTTCGGAGTCCACAAACTGCGACTACCATTTATGCCATAAGAGCGGACACTTCCGGAACGAGGTTTTTTTTTTGAATATTAATGCGGAACTGCAGGATCCGGGACAGGGGCAGACGTCGACAGCTTTGCCCGGCACCATATATTCGACCTGGGGTGCGGGGGTGTTTCGGAGGTGACCTCCGAAACCCCAAACTTATAAGATGTAGTAACAATCATTTATATTCAAATCTACGAGTGCAACCATGTTGGCAGCACGCGTGTCGAGATCGACGCTCATCCCAGTTCCTTTCAAGCCCTGTACAACCATCTTCCTCAGAGCGAGATGGTCCAGTACCCACGCAGAGGTTCCGCTACAAAACAAGTCGAAGGTGTGGGGGTCTCCCGACGAGGCCGTTAAAGATGTGAAGTCAGGAGATGTACTTTTATGTGGTGGTAAGTACAATCGCGTTTTATTTGTATACCGAGTGTTTATTATGCTGTCGACACCAAGGTTTTGGTTTGGCTGGTGTGCCAGGTGAGTCTCAATAGAGGATGGATCTTGAGCAGTGCAACTAACCCGGGATACAACAAGACACTCTTCTTTCCGCTTTGGTCAAACGCAAGGAAGTCACAAAATTAACAGCGGTGTCCAATAACGCTGGCGCAGGTGACTCTGGACTTGGTTCGATTTGTTCATATCAGTCCGTGATCCATGAAGCTTATCAATGTAACATAGGAAAGCTGTTCAACAGCAAACAGATTGACAAGATTGTTGCATCATACCCTGGCGGGTGAGTGCCTCATATTATAGGGTACCGCATAAGATTGAATGCCTTCCCATTCAGAAACAAAGCCTTTGAGGCTCTATACCTTAAGGGCGAGGTGTCTTTAGAACTATGCCCCCAAGGTACACTCATCGAACGTCTCCGTGCCCATGCTGCTGGTATCCCGGCCTTCTTCACCCCTACCGGAGCATCAACAGCAGTAGAAGATGGTTCCATCCCAGTGCGATACAACGAAGGAGGATTTGCTAATGGAGTCAAGATACCAGGTATCAAGAAAGAGATGCGAGAATTTGGAGGTCGTAAGTACATCATGGAACCGGCCATTGCTGGCGATGTGGCTTTCGTTCGTGCATGGAAAGTCGATGAGGTTGGCAACTGCGTTTTCCGGTGAGAAGGCCATTTTTCGCCTACCTGAGCGCTGAGCGTGCTGACTTGTGCAGGTACACTCAGCAGAATTTTAGCACAGTCATGGCGAAGAATGCAAAACTCACGATAGTGGAGGTGAGTCGGAATATCTCGTTATTTTTGTCAGAAAGTTGATACATTCTTTGCAGGCGGACCAAATTGTGCCTACTGGTTCTCTTTCACCAAACGCCATTCATGTTCCTGGTATTTACGTCGACCGGGTTGTTCAGGCGACCGCGCCAAAACAGATAGAACATATCAAGCTTGCGCCAAGCCCATCATCTTCCGGTGAACAGTCCACTCTTACTCCTGAGAAAGAATTCGCACAGAAGATGCGACATCGTACTGCAAAACGCGCCGCCAAAGAGCTCAAGGATGGATTCTACGTAAACCTCGGTATTGGCATACCTACTCTCATTCCTGCGTACCTCGAGCCCGGTGTGAGTGTTTGGCTGCAAAGCGAGAATGGCATCCTCGGTATGGGGCCATACCCTACGGCAGAGCAAGTGGATCCGTAAGTCGCGCAGCCAGGGAGTGTTTCCTTGTACTAAGTCTCTCTTTGTTAGGGATCTCATCAATGCGGGCAAAGAGACTGTGACTTTGCTGCCGGGCGCCTCAGTCTTTGGTATGTTTGTCGCACGATCCAACATCAATTGCTGACACCACCGGGCAGACTCGAGTGAATCATTCGCTATGATCCGCGGTGGTCATGTCGATCTTTCCATTCTCGGCGTGAGTATCTTAGTCCACTCGCTGACTTCCTAGATGCTCAATAGTCTGGTTCATCTCATAGGCTATGCAAGTATCGCAAGCAGGCGACATTGCTAACTTTATGATTCCTGGAAAATTGGTCAAAGGTTCGTGACTTAGACGTGTTTTGCCATTCGGTTTTCTACAGCATTCTCACCGTCGGTCCCATTCTTAGGTATCGGAGGAGCTATGGACCTGGTGTCTAACCCTGACCAGACAAAGGTCATAGTTGTCATGGAGCACTGCGCAAAGGACGGCAGTCCAAAGATTTTGAAGGAATGCACTCTTCCGCTCACCGGTGCCCGTACTGTTAGCCAAATCATCACGGAGTTGGCCGTTTTCGACGTTGACAGGAAGAACGGTCACCTTGAGCTTGTTGAACTCCAAGAGGGCGTAACTCTTGATGAAGTCAAAGCGAAGACCGGCTGCGATTTCAAGGTACGGAGTGACCTGAGCAAGCTTTGATCGCTCTCAGGTTTCGAGGTTATCATTATGGAGTAACATCAATACCCGTTTCCTTACGAAATTTGTTCCTTATAGCACACGTATTATTCTTATACCATCTAGGCAGTCTCGCTGAACTCTGGCTGAAGTTTACTACGTATATCGCACAGTAACGACGGACGATTAGCATGATGACAAGAATGCGGAAGACCATCTTCGAGGCACACATCCGTTCGTTTCCGAGCCCATCGTCACGACATGTCCCTCACTAAATCTCTCGGCCGAGTCCCACACATCTTCCACTGTAACTAACGTGAGCGTTGCCTTGGACTTATTGGTGGTGGCGGGCCGCTCTCTTTAGGGCAGATGGCTAGCGCATGCTACGCTGATGACATCATGAGCATGCTCGACAGTCTCGCCATGCCATTCAACGTTATTCAACCACCAGCTGCATGAAAATAAGCACGACAGGCTCAAGCGCATCATACATGGCATTAATATTCTTGCAGAACAGCCGATGCCGTTTGCAGTTCCTTCAAGCTCTTCATTATCCGTTGATTCGATAGGTTCGCTATTTACAATTCACAGGTACCCCAGTTAGGCCTCCGAGTTTGCTTCCTGGTTTCTTCATCCATTCTCCTCCACCCCCCTGCCGCTTTTTGTCGTGTAAAGGTACTACCAACTCGCGCGCTTGACGCTGAGCAAACAAAGGGTGCCAGGGGTTCTGCAATTGGGTGTGAATTTCGGAATGTGTTGCCGACTCTGATTAGACTCTGATCAGGAACCGTAAAGTTTCAATAATGTTTCACTAGTGATGGCCTGCCAGTGCCCGGAAATAAGTGCTGCCCGCATGTGGGGGATTTGTGGTTGTCCTTCGGCTTGACAGGCGGAGTACCGACGCGTCGGGACAGAAGTTTATGATATGGAGCTGGCATTCGCCTGGTGATCTCACACAGAACCACACCACTGAAATCCTCTTATTCTCTGACCTGAAATCTGGCACCTATGGGTCCCGCTCTCCTTCCTACACACAGTACGCAGCTTTTCCGACGATGCAAAGGTCTGACATCCTTCCGGTTGTGCATAAGACATTACGCGACGCCCGAGTCTGCTGCACCCCAGCGGAAGAAAGTATGGGCATCTGCAGATGCTGCTGTGCAAGATGTGAAGTCTGGGGACATCGTGCTGAGTGGAGGTATGTCTGCACCACTTCGCTTGGATTGAAGTTGACGCGGTTCCATTCGACGTCAGGGTTCGGCTTGTGTGGTACTCCTGGTGAGTTCGTCGTCCCGCCAGTTCCAAAGAAGGTTGTCTGATAATCACCCCACAGAGACTTTGATCACTGCTCTTTCACGACGAAATGGCATCCACGGTTTGACCGCCGTGTCAAATAATGCTGGTTCTAGTGATTTGGGTCTAGGTGAGTAGTTCATTTTTCTGCGCCAAGCAGTGGAATCTTACTGATTCTAATGGACTAGTCAAGCTCATGAAGAGCGGGCAGCTTGACAAGCTCATAATATCATACCTTGGCGGGTATGTGTTACTTTTGAATATAAGGTCATGCACTCATCGCTACTCAGAAACAAATATTTTGAGCGGATGTACCTTGATGGAAAGTTGTCCCTTGAACTGGTCCCGCAAGGTACCCTCGTTGAAAGGATGCGCGCGCACGGCGCAGGCATTCCCGCCTTCTTCACACCCACAGGTGCCTCCACGACCGTTGAAACTGGTGGCATTCCCATCCGATTTAAAGCAGGCGGTTTCAAAGAAGGTATCCTGATACCCGGAAACAAAAAGGAATATCGAGACTTCAACGGAAAGCGGTACATCATGGAGCCTGCCATCGCTGGTGACGTCGCGTTTGTCCACGCCTGGAAGGCAGACGAGGCAGGTAACCTCATGTTCCGACATGTCGCAAACAACTACAATAACGCTATGGCAAGGAATGCGCGGTTGGTCATAGTAGAGGTAAGGGTCATGGAGTAACTATTTGGCATTAAGCTTATCACGCATATAGGCAGAGGAAATTGTCCCCATTGGTTCATTACCACCAAACGGTATCCATGTCCCAGGAATATTTGTTGACCGTGTTGTGCAGGCCACTGAACCAAAAGCTTTTGATATCCTTGCCACTGCTCCGCCAGAAGGGACTGCTGGTGGGCCCTCGCCTGAGGAACTCCTGGAAAAGAGCACACGGCGCAGAGTAGCAAAGCGCGCAGCACAGGAGCTCAGAGATGGCTTTTACGTTAACCTTGGTGTCGGCATTCCCACTCTCGTCACGGAGTATCTCCGACCGGGCGTCAAGATCTGGCTGCAAAGTGAAAACGGCATTCTGGGAATGGGTCCGTTCCCCACCAAGGACCAAGTTGATCCGTGGGTATCGCTGGCTACATGTTCCAATGATGTCGGTACTAACAATAAGCTAACAGAGACATCACGAATGCTGGAAAGGAGACGGTCACATTGCTGCCCGGCGCTTCGATCTTCGGTGAGTGACGTCAGCGCACAAGCGAGAGGCGCATGTTAACGCGTTATACAGATTCAGCTGATTCATTTGGCATGATCCGTGGCGGTCACATGGACGTTGCTATCCTTGGTGTATGTTTCATTTTGGTTGGCTGTGGGAACTTTTTTGATCAAACATTTGTGTAGGCTATGCAAGTATCGCAGGCTGGCGACATTGCAAACTTCATGATTCCAGGCAAGCTTGTGAAGGGTATGTGAATTGGCATAGCATCTGTACCTGGGTTCATGTGATACCTGCAGGCATTGGTGGAGCCATGGACCTCGTGTCAAATCCTGATAAGACGAGGGTGATTGTGGCCATGGAACACTGTGCAAAAGATGGAAGTCCAAAAATCATGCAGGAGTGTTCGCTGCCACTGACAGGTGCACGGGCGGTCAGTCAGATTATTACCGAACTCGCTGTGTTCGATGTTGACCGGTCTGGTGGCTTCCTGACGCTTATGGAAGTGGCCAAGGGTGTGACGGTGGAGGAGGTACAATCGAAGACAGCCTGCGATTTCAAGGTCTCTGAAAACCTTGGGCAGATGTAAGTCCGTATTGATGGTAGTACATGATACCTCTGTATCAACAGGCTGTTCCCACCATTAATGCCTAATGATACCACACATTAATTCCGTCTTCCACGACTATATTCAGTGAAAAAAGCGGACGTCTTTAGTTGCAGTTGAATTTTTATATGTATTTGGGATTGATTTCTGTATTAAAACAAGGACGTCGCTTCGCATTGCGCAGTAACATGATAACGAAAGGTTGAGGTGGCGCATTACTTACACATACCATAAGGACAGAAATAGACAAGAAAATCAATTTCCCTTGCAGGGTTAGCAACTTCTGTCTTACTACAACAGCATCACTTGGGTCGGCATTGTGTCCACCGTCCTGGAAATTCAGCTGGCGACGACTTGAACAATGAATTGGTTCGCTTCACTGTTCTCAACCGACCGTAGTAAACAGTCTGTACGACGAGGACAGGCAATGTCGACAACGCATGAAGCGTTCTCACTCCCAACTTCGTCATCGGGTCATGGGCGACATCCAGACGCTTTCAACCCAGCGGCTCTTCAGACACCAGACCCACTCAGTCCAACATATACATATCCACCGCAATCCCCAATCTCTTCCTATAGCTATGTACCGACTTCGTGCGTCCATTCCTACTTGGTTTTCGATTCAAATAACTGACCTCTCTTCACCTCCAGCTCTCGCTCACGACCGGCCTCACTCCTTCCTCTTCACCACACGCCCTTTGTAGATTCAATGACCCCACCGCCACCTTACCCTCCATTAGAAAATACGTGGAATCGCCTAAAACTATGGCTGGCTCGTGAATACCCAGAACTAGGCGATACTCTCAACTACGGCATTCTTCCACAGGACCTTGCGCAAATTGAGATGCAATTTGGTTTTGCACTACCGCAGGCGGTACGGGAGTCGTATCTCGTCGTGGACGGACAAGAAGCAGAATCGTCAGCGGGATGCTCAGAGGGCCTCTTCTTTGGCCTCTCGTTGCTCCCCCTCGAGGGTGTCCTCGATGAGTGGCGTTTTTGGCGTGAAGTCGATGATGACCCTCAGACAGGAAGTAATCCACATCTGCGCGATATCATGCGGTCCATACCTGACGGCTATGTGCGGAAAGAATACTCGCAGCGTGGTTGGATCCCACTCGTCGTGGATAAAGCAGGCAACTATATCGGCGTGGACCTCAACCCAGACAAGGACGGCACCGTGGGTCAGGTAATTGTCTTCGGGCGCGAGTTTGACACGAAGATAGTGCTTTGGCATGGGGATGGACCCGGTGGGTGGGCGAGGTGGCTCGCAAATTTTGTCGATGAATTAGAGAGCGGGGAGGGCTTTGAGCTGGGACCGGCAGAGAGTGAAGGCAGCGAGGATGACCTAGGATATGAGGCCTACTTCTTTGATGGAAGTGGGCGGGGTCAAGGCGATGGTGGTGGGGAGGCTGGACCAGGGGGGCTGCGGCTCACCGGGGAGTATAGAGGGTTGAACCCAATGGAGGCATGGGCTGACCGGAGCGTTAAGAAATGGTACGAATCAGGTTTGATCCATGGTGCTCCGTCGCTAGATGAGAAGAAAGGCAAGGTACGCATCATCACACTTGTTGGTGTATTCTACAGTTAATTTATTGATTACAGGCGCGGGAGATACATGGCCTTGGCGTTTTAAACCTCGCTGACTCCGACGCAGTTGTTCCTATACCCGTCTTCACGGACTTGAAGCTCACAGAAGAAACTACCGATATTATACCACAGCCACCTGTTCCCGTCATTTCCATCACCAAACCCCCAGCTCCGTTACCCGTAGGCTTACCGACTGCCAACGATGTCGTCTCTCTCCCCTCGCCGCCAGATTCGCAACGTTCGTCTAACGAGGATCTCGAAGCGGGCCGTGGGCCCGGCATGCGGGCAATACCAGAAGACGTAGTAATCGTTAAAGTTCCTCCTAGACATTCTCCTCGTGCGAAAGTGGAAACTCTTGTCGGACAGGTCATTTCCACGGCAGACGACGTGCACATAGAGACGCCACCCTCTTCGGTGGAAAGTGTCACTGACCTACTTGCTGACTCTGCTCCTGCTATGGATGCAGTTCCACTCCAACCCTCGACCCCCACTATTGCGGTGGTAGAAATAGAAGCTTCTGGATCATCAGAGCCCGTTCCTACCTTGCGGCCGTCGCAAGAGGATACTCAAGAACCTAGCACGACTATTCGATTAGTCGGCGGTGGAGGCTCCTCTGGCATTGTAGATACCAAACCCGCAGACGATGTTTCCGACCCAGCAGCAGATGTCATATCTGTGATTTCTTCGGGAACGGGCGGCTCTCCTTCAAAGAAGGACAAAATCCACGAGAAGAGCAAGTCGAGCATATCTTCACTGAAGAAGATTGTTAACATCGGCGAGGGCAAGCGGAAAAAGGACTCGAGCAGTAGCATCAAAGAGACGATATGACCTCCACGCGGCCTACATACCACGGATTCGCATTTTTGACTTGTTCGCCGGACATAGTTTGCTTAATGCTTATGTTCACTACAGCTGTGCGAGTGTGTTGTTCGAGTTTTATTACTTCCCTTGTTACTACTACCCTGACTTTTACTCGTTACACACCCCGCTCGTTGCATTGCATTGCAATTTTTGTCTGATATACCCATACGTAACTACAAATCAGTATCAGCGTTGCTCTGCGATTTCAGCTAATGTAATTTTTCTGGAGACCAATAGGTCTCTGTTTATATTCCAGCTTGCCTTCAGGCAGATGTTCTTGTTGTAGGCGCTTGTGGGTGAAAGCACGTGACGACGTTTCGACGTGTTGTTGTTGACAACTTGAGATGAGGATCTGCCTTGTTTGAGTCTTTATATTTTGAACGCATTGGTTTGGGTTTTTGGATTCGTCTTGGTTCTGCGCCGTCGTCGCAGAAATGCATTCGCTTTTCTATGTCTTATTCCATCCACTAAACACACTCAACTTATGGCTCGAGGACGATCCGAATGCCAGCATCGTTGATGTGTTATACCTCTTCACCACATTTTCAGCCTTTGGCATATGGCTAGTGTTTGACAGATACCAGAAAGCGGTCAACAGCGCAGTGCCTTTTCGCCACCCTGCTCCAGAGGTTCGTCTCTTTCATACCCCGGGGAAGATCTTCATGACACTCATCCTCTCGTTGACAGGAAGCAGACCCCAACTGGAGCTCTCGCGTGATACCCAACGCCAACCTCCGCTCGCATCTCCAAATGCCCGACCTCCTTCCTCTCCAGTTCGGAGGTGGACGCGAATACATTACGTGTTTTGACCCCGCCAACAGCTTGCACCTCACTTCTACTATCGCGGATGATGCTCGGTCAATCGAGGCCAAGATCAAACGTGCGAAAAATGCTCAAGTGAAGTGGTGCGAGACGTCATTTGGTGAGCGGAGGCGCGTCATGCGCAGCTTACTAAAGTGGCTCGTGGAGAACCAGGAGGTATGTGCGCGGGTCGCGTGCCGCGACACGGGAAAGACTCGTAAGTTGCTTTATTCTCCCTTTTCTACTGTTACCGAGATTATTCCATGTAGTGGTTGACGCGGCTTTGGGCGAGACATTGACGACGTGCTCAAAGTTGGAGTGGTTGATCAACCATGGAGAACGCGCTCTACGAACGGAAACGAGATATTCGAATTTGATGATGAGTTACAAGAAGTCACAGGTCATTTACGAACCCAAAGGGGTCGTGTCTGCTATCGTATCATGGAACTACCGTTTGTGTCTCTTAAGTGACGTGATTCTCAACGTGGCTAATCCGACTGTAGCTCTTCATAATGCTTGGTCACCGATCATCGCATCTATCTTTGCTGGAAACGCTATCGTGCTCAAAGCATCTGAACATGTTATTTGGTCTACAGAATGGTTTGTTGGCGCTATTCACAAGTGCCTAGAGGTTCTTGGATATGACGCTGACATTGTACAGGTATGGCTTGGGTTAATTTCCGGACTACAATATTAACCGAATTCCAGACTGTCTGCTGCTGGCCTGATGAGGCCGAGGCTTTGACCAGGTCTCCTCTTATCAAGCACATTACTTTTATTGGCTCAGAGGAAGTCGGAAGAAAGGTGAATAGATCATTGCAAAGATCATTTGAGCTGCCTCTAACTTCTGCGCAGGTCGCCATGGCTGCCACTGAACACCTCACACCCGTTACTCTTGAGCTTGGTGGAAAGGATCCCGCTATCATTCTACCAGACACGGACCTCCAGAAATGGGCTAGCATTTGGATGCGTGGTATATTGTGAGCTGTTCCGTGTACTTCCTCAAACACGATCTGAACTAACTGATATGCCAGCCAAAATTCGGGTCAGAACTGCATCGGTATTGAGCGTCTCATTGTACATTCGGATCAATACGATGAGTTGTACGATATCCTGACGGATCGCGTCGCCAAGTTACGCTTTGGGTCCGTGCTGGCGCCTACGCGCGAGGGATACATCAACACCGTGGATTGTGGTTCTATGATCAGCAATGACAGGTTTAGAGTGCTCGAGGAGCTAGTGTTCCAGGCGCAGGAAGATGGTGCAAGAGTCGATGTCGGCGGGAAGGAGCTCCTGCATACGTCGTGTGAGGGGAGGTCATTCTTCCAGGCAACGGTGGTGGGCGATGCCAAACCCAACTCGAGAATTTCACAGGTGGAATGTAGGTGTTGTTGTGTTCTATGCTTCAAGTTGCTGACACTTGATATCTATTCATGAAGTGTTTGCCCCAATTGCGCTGCTAATTCGATATGATGATATTGATGAAGCGATCACTATCGCGAATGGAACGCGGTACGGACTTGGCGCCAGCGTCTTTGGACCACATCAGGACCTCTGCATTGAAGTCGCGAAGGAGCTTCATTGTGGCATGGTATCTGTCAATGACTTTGGAGTGTACTACGTGAGTCGTGTTTGCCTCTCGCTTGCTGCTTTACTCAAATGCTGAAATATGCTACTTTTAGCTCAAGTAAGCAGTATTTTGACCTCTGGGGCGTGGTAATTAATTTCCCCACAGCCAAGACCTGCCGTTTGGAGGCACGAAAGCCAGTGGATACGGGCGGTTCGGTGGCGTTGATGGACTTCGTGCGCTGACAAACCCTAAAGCAATTGTCACCGACCGCTGGCCGTCATTTGTGCAGACCAGTATACCCAAAGTGCTTGACTATCCCATACGTTCACTCGTACGGAGTTGGTATGTCCCCGCTTTATTGTGGTTTCCATTTCTTGGTTTTAATTGGTATTGTATGACAGGGACTTCGTTCATGGTCTGACTATGCTGCTATATGCTGATGGATATCGTGCACGGTTCAATGGGTTGTTACAACTAACGAAAGCTTCCCGCCGATGATTTATTACCAGTGGAAGTATTGCTATGAGGATGCTCCACATATCAGGCACTGAATTGTATGTTTTTTTGGTAGCAGTCTACGTGATTTACTAATGGACCTGACTCCGTAAGAGAATCCCATCAGCAGCTTGCATTGCTGTCTAGTGAAGTCCCATAATTGAACTCTACTCATCAGCTCTACTGCGGACTTGTTTCGGTGTGGCGGGGGGTGGTGGATGGGGCAGTATGCGCGGTCACTGCGGTGACCTCGGGGCATCGCAACTTGGCCCAATTGATGCGGCATTCTTACTGGTGGGATTCGTACCCGACCCGACGCCACATCCCACCTAATACCACGGAAATTCTCAGCGTATGTCGCAAGCGAGCACGAAATCCATCATATGATCTTGTTCTGAAACGTTTAAGATGGGTCGCTCGCACGTGAGTTTCATCGAAGCCCCTTTCCGCTGTAGGAACGGGTGCCCTTCAAGCTTCAGTACTTCAGTCTTTCAACTGATCGTTCTGTTCGTAAGAGTATTACATGAATTCAACATTTTCGGCGGATTGGTTGAGAAGTAAGCTTACGACAAACGTTATGATAAGTTGGTGATAAGGGAGCCGCGCATACGTGATGGGAGCAATTTGTCAACTTGGCATCTTTTCATTTACATCCGAGCCAGTAAGTACCTTACCATCAGTAGTACGGTATATAGCACGGACACCGACGGCAACGTCCCTGCCTCCATTCTATCAACCAACCTTTCCCTTGACAATCTTGCTTTTACCCGTTTACAAGTTTAGCTTACTTCTGGAAACGAAAAGGCAACGAACTCCGGAAACCGGTGACAAGGCGCCTGTCAGATGCAATTGACGGTGCTCGGTTCCAAAACTCCTTCATAACCGCTTTCGATGGCTCGCCAGCAAACGTATTCCTTTTCATTTGGACCTTCATTGATGCAACGAATGCGAACTCTAGCAGACCTTGCCCTAAGACGATTCGGAATGTGCGTACTTTCTACAGTCATTTTGGCTTCGAGTCTGACCCAGGTGGAATCAAGACATTGCGCAACACATCAAGTTCGTCTCATCCTTATCTCGGCGATTGTCATCACGTCCTTGTCGTACCCTGCACTTGCCATATACTGGTCGACCCCAGCTTACTCGCGCTTTGTATCTACATCAAACCCCCTCGATTCTTTCCTCACTGCTCATGCGACATATGACAGTTACACACAACGGGACATACATCAACTTTGGGATGGAAACGCCAACCTCCAAGTACGAGACGACTTCCTCACACGAGCACGCTGCGGAAGTGACCGTACACTTCGTGTTGAACGCATTCTCGTCAACACTGTCGACGGGGCAGGGGCACTTTCCCTGCAAACTTTGCTTTACACCCTTCAACTAGAAGGGCGGATCCTCCAAGGACTTCTGAATCATGGAGTCTCTTGCAACGATCTGAACTCGCATCACTGTTTTGTTATCAGCCCCCTTTCCTTTTGGGAACACGACGAGGAACGTCTGCGCAGCGACAGGAACATCTCTCTAACAGCCACTCGCTCTGAAGGTGTCACAGCTGCAGGTGTACATGTTACACCGCAGATGGTCCTTACAGGGCGCGACTCCTCACAACGCAATCCTGCCACCCCTGACTCTGCAATGTTCCTGGCACTTACTTATGTATTCCCTGAGACGGATTGTTCGAGGAGTGCCGGTCACGATTCTTGGCTACAGATAATCGAGAACTCAACTATGGAGATTGCGGAAAGCGCGCGAGTGTTTACAGTGACTGCGGAACCGAAACTAATTGCGCTGGAGGTATGTCCAGTACTTTCCATCGCTCGTGTGCATGTTCTTAACGTCTGCAGTACAATCATAGCCTATCCAAGACTACGGGAACTTCATCCATTTCAACGTTTTTATACCTCTCGTATGGTGCATTTTGCGCATATGTCTCGTGGTCGATGAAGCGCATGAATGGTGTGCACACCCGTATTGGTCTCACCTTCACGGCACTCGTTGAGATTGCGGCAAGTACAATCACCAGTCTGAGTGTATGCGCGTTGTTACGCTTTAAAGTGACCATGGTTCCCTGGTAACACTTCATATCTTGTCTCATCATACAAGCACTTACCATAAACAGGAGCCTTCTCCCTATCGTTATCATCTTCGTTGGTGCGGAGAATATGTTTAATCTCGTGGATGCGGTGACTCGCACGTCTATTACGCTACCTGTCAAAGAGCGCATCGCTGAGGGACTGAGTCGCGCTGGCACCTCTAATACACTCAAAGTCCTGTCGTATAACTCCATCCTGGGCGTCATCGCATTTTTCTCTGCTGGTGCAATCAGGCAGTTTTGCACCTTTGCAGTGGTGGTCCTCATTGCACATTGGTTCCTTGCGCATACGTTCTTCTTGGCAGTACTCAGTATTGATATCCAAAGGTTGGAGGTGAGTTCAAGTGAGCTTGTATACGTGGGTCGGTACTGAAGTAGACGGGTTCAGCTCAATCAATTGCTAAGACAAGACCCAAGCTTAACGCCCGCTGCGTCTGCTTCGACTCGTGATGCCTCACTGGAGAAAAACGCGCCCAACTGGCAGCGAGCCACGCTCAATGCGAAGGAGTCACTCAAAGGTCGCGCCTTAACGAACATCAGCTTGTTGTTGGTATGTAAATAGTCTGAGCTTCATATGTCTATGTGCTCATTGTCTTCCTAGCTCCTTGCTATCACGGCAACACTATATGTTATGACGAGACCTGCTGCTCGTGAAAGCGAGGCAGGATTCATCATTCCTTCCACCGTTCAGCAACGCACGCAAGCAGCTCACCGTCGCCCAGATTCACAAGACCCCGCCTGGCGTATTTGGAAGACGCTCAATCCCCATGAAGAACCACTAGTTCATCTCCGTCTTGAAGTCCCGGCCATTGTCGCGTTCCAGCCTGGTACAGGGGCAGAACTGGGTTATGAGCACGCCCCTGGGCCTGCACGCTCCATTAACCTCGTTTTCTGGTTCCTTAAGTTCGTCATCCTGCCGATCGGCGTGACAATTGCCACGCTTTATGGACTGCTGCTATACCTGTTGAAAGATGCCGAGCTACTTGAGGCACAGCGGAACCGCGCAGAAGCTGATGCACCCTCCCTCAAGGGTGAAAAGTCACTCAATGGAGAAACTTCTTTCAAGACACTCCCGCGCGCTTTTGCGACTGATGTCGAGCTGCTTGCATCAAGCAAAGACTGTGAAGTGATAGCTGCGGTTGGACTACAGAATGAGCTGAGCATATGGCACTTCAACGACCCAAACCCTGTCCTCATCGATACAAGCGACATTTTGCTGAGTACAGGCAGTACATCGTTTTCGCAGGAGCGGATAGCCGCAGTTGCCTTGGATGACGCAGGAGAGTACTGTGCTATAGGGACAACGCATGGGACAATTGGGGTGTGGTTCATGCCGGGGAGGAGCGCAAGACTATATACGACCCTTGCGCCGCACTCGATCGCGGCAGGGATTAGGGAGTTGCATTTCGCGCCCCCGCTCCAATCAGTGTTGAAGCAGAAAAATGGGCCGCAATCTCGCCCGTGCACACCTCCGCCAGGTCCTCCTGAACCAGAGCCCCTCGTCGTTGTGTACGAGGATGGAGCCATTGCCCAATGGGTCATGGACGGCCACTCGTCGGCGTCATTCATCTCCCCGATGTCATCCGAACCTATCTTACAGAGTCGCCTTCTCCGTGTTCGCTCAGATGACCGAATATTGGCAGCATTCGTGTTGGCAGATGGAGCTCTGGAGCTGTTCGGCGTATGCGAAGCTCGGAGTTCTGTGCCAATCCGCTGTGCGCTGCAACCAGGCAATTCAGTGGACCGTGTCAGCAAGATCGATGCGTGTAAAGTCAGGCTAGATGGCAGGGATCACATAATCATCGGCGTCGCTTCAGAAGTTGGCGTTATTTCCCTGTGGGATGCCGGATCCTCTGAGTGCATCTTCATCCTGGAGGAGAATCATGGCGCTATCGACCAACTGCGGATATCCAACTCTCGTGTCGTGAATTGCCAGTTCTGTGGTGAACCACCCATGGACAGCTTCATGGTCTCCGTCTCAATCGGGCATGATGTAATTTTTCATAAGGTTTACATCACGTCGCAGGGAAGGAGGTGTACATGCCCTCGAAACAATCCACAAGAATCGACCATCCTGGAGCTGGCTACGGGTCGGCGCTCACGGAGTAGCAGCACAGCTTCAACTATAGGACCATCCTCGGTGCCATCAACGCGGAGGTTGTCCTCTGCTAGCACTGCGTCTGCGCCAGACACCTCCGCGTTTCCTGTTTCCGGCCACGGAATTCTTTCCCGCAGAGCCTCAGAAAAAGGGCTGCGCCGCCTTTCGGAGAGCTACGTGCTAGCCCATTTAACAGATGAGGATGACGAAGGCCATTCCATTCACATCGACCCACCAATAGCATCACGTCCTTCGACGTGGTCCAACGTCGCCGTTATCAGAGCAGGCGAAGCAGCGTGCGAGCGGGGGGGCTGGGACATTTCAGGTGAAAAAATAATAGGTGTCCGCCGCATATCCCGAGCACACACAAAAGGCTCACTCCAGCTTTCATCGACATCGCGTGGACTAACGCCCGCGGTTCTGGACCGGTGGGAGATCTGGTTGTTCGATACCGGTGTCTCAAAGGCACGAAGTGCTACTCTGTCGAGCCTAACTGATGATCCCCCTCTTTCTCTCCGGCGGTCCTTCCTTCCTTCGATGTACCTCAGCCGGCCACCCTCGCCGACTGCGGTGCCAGAAGAGTACCCTCGCATTCCATTCACGAGAGTGTCGCCCTTCCTTGCGATCCGTGGGGCTGCAATGGCGGGCTTCGGGAATACTGTAGGACTCTTCCTTGTTTCGTGATTTTTATTAAGTATGGATATAACTTTACATTGTGCGTGGAGGATGCTCGCTATCGAAGTGCAATCTGTAGCAATCTGTCTTATTTATCGTAGTTCTTGTTGTGATAGGATCCGGCTGGGTCTTGTATATCGTACTCGTTTGAATAATCATGCACTAAATCAACGTCTAACGCTCAGTAATAAGACATGGTATACTTATACGAGGAGATGCCGATAGTATCTTACATCCCCCACAAGCTTGGGTAAGATATGAAGAGCTTGAAGCGCTGTGCGCGAGTTGTACCACGGTCGTAGGAAACTGATCAGGGGCTGAACTTTTCAGGCAACTCAGGGGCGATTCAACAAATAATCTACCAAGAGCTCAGATCCGGGCTTGCTCATTGACGAATCGATATAATGGCCCAGCCACGGACTCCATTCCGAACGAGAATCTGTAAGTTATTCTTAACGCCAATTTCGTCGCCACCATTGATGCTGGCATCTTTGAAGGGATGCTCAAACGGAATTTAATCAACCTCCTCGCCTACTTTCCAAGATCAGTGGACCAGCAAAGGAAGCTCGAGTGGATCGACATCGATGCATTGTCGTTCACTAATTCACATGTCCCTCCCTCCAGCACGAAGTACCCAGAACCCCCCATCCATCGTCTGCCAGTTGAACTCCTACAGCACATATTCTTGCTCATCGTGAATGACGCGCCAGACTTTCCTAGTATTTTCTCATGTGGAGAAACCACCATCTCTGCCAATTTTGCCAGCCCTCCCCTGGTCTTCACCCGGGTGTGCTGTCTTTGGCGAGCCATTGCACTTTCAACGACAGGGGTTTGGTCGCGCTTCCAGGTCGCACTTCCCGGGCGATTCAGTCAATTACATCCATTCCTTCCACATCTGCTCCAGTTTTGGCTTGCCTGCTCTGGCCGTCAGCCTCTCACTCTTCGCACCTGCCAAGACACATCGCTAATAGTAGCACAGAGATGCTACTACTCAAAGGCGGATTCTCAACTGCTCAGGGTCCTCCTTTCTGCGCGTGACCGTTGGGAAAGCGCGGGTGTTATGTCGCCCATACACGACCACGAGCTAGTCCGCTATAGGCATACCAATAGTGACTTGAGACTAGGCCCACTAGGGAAGATAGCCGCTGAGTGGCGGTTTCCAGGGAATGGCGAGATCGAGGTACCTCAGTTGAGAACCTTGGAGTGTTACTGGTCAGACATCACTAAATTCGATGCTCCAAACCTCACTCGGCTATGCATCATTGATCAAAATGTGCATCCGATTCAATTCCAACGCGGCAAAAATGCTCACCGTCTTTACCTCGAAAGCTATCCGTATCCAACATCACATTTCCCTACTCCTACCTGCAACAATATCCGTAATCTTCACCTCCAGAAAGCTTCCGCCCATATCATACGCTCTACTCCGGTGATTTTCCCTCATCTGGAGGCCATCGTAGTGGACGCGATTGAATTAGATGGCGGTAGAAGTGATTCGGCCGTGTGTTCTTCCCTGGAGTCGATGACTCTCCCCTTGTCCTCGGATAACCAGCATCTATTCGTCAAGATATTCGATGGATTTCAGCTTCCCATGCTGCAGAAATTGACTGTAGTGGGAGCACCAAACGAACAGGAAGTTGATTGTATTCTGGCGGCGCTGGCGATTGCATCTTGCCACGTGCAGGTGGTAGACTTTCAGGCAAACAAAGTTGATCTGGGGGTAATTGAGCGTCTGGCCCAGGGCATAGTCTCCTCAGCTGTGAATTGTATTCTGGCGGCGCTGGCATTTACATCTCCCGGGGTAGACCTTCAGGCGTTGCAGAACGAAGTCGATGTGGGTGCCGTTGAGCCGTTGCTCTCAGTTGCGAGGGAGGTTACTGTCCGTGGGGTGCTGTGGCATCGTGCCGCATGTCGTTGATTGTACGAACCTAGCTTGGCTTAGACAGTGTGTCCGCAGAATTACAAGAACAAATAACAATAATGAGAGCAACTATATACGTGACCGCACTACTTGATCATCTCCAATATTCTCAAGTAATCTTCTCGTAAGCTCTGGAATGTCTCCTCCAGTTTCTCCAGTCGTTCCTCCTTCTCTAATTGGGCCAAGATTTCCTGTTGATGAGAAGACATCAATAAAAGGCGAGACATCTGGCGGTGTGACCTACGAAGTTGAAACGGTACAACCGCTCCTTGACCTGCAGTCGATATGCTCTTGCAGCATGGGTGTCGGTGGGGTCGAGATGCATCAAGATTAGCATCTCCATAAGCCGCTGCCATTGACGCTGGGAAAACTCAGAACAATAATTAGAGTCAGCTGAATTCAGGACTTACCCCCGCCATCTTAAGTTGTTTCCGAAACGTCTCAGACCAAGCTTTGTCTATCGGAGGACCCATTTTCCCTATGCCTTTCACCGTACCGGATGATGCACCCATTGGGTTTGCTCGAGCGCGAGTTTTCCGTTTTCGCACCTTTCCTCCACTATGCGAAACCGCTTCGGAACCAAAGCCTTCTTTTATGAAACTTTCATTGGCGAGGAGCATCCTCAGGTCATTTCGATCTCGTAGGTCCTCGAATGCCTCGGCTGGATCTTCGACTGTCAACTCAGATATGAGGGGGTTGAGGAGGGCGTAGTTATAGATTGTTTTGTACAGCTCCGCTTCAAAGACTTGAGCATGAATAGAGGCAGAGGATAAGAGTATCGGTACTTACATCCATGACCTTGGTGTTGGTATGGTGGTACAATTACGAATTGACTGTGCAAACCATGCATTGGTTATATTCCACTTCACAAAGAAATCACGCACCTAAGACGAAGTCGGAGTTTCTCGGGAAAGCAGTAGAATTTATACACTGATGAATACCCAATGAAATGGTATGTCTTCGTGCCACTTGACCGCTTGCGTGTTTCGTACCTGTTCGCGCACGGTCAAATAGTCTGGAGGATACGAATGAAAATGAGGAACTGACAACACAAAAAAGTCCCAAGCGTCGTCGTCTTCAGTGATGTAAGAGCCTGCTTCTATGTAGAGCAGAATGAAAAGCTGCATTCGTCTATGGTATTCTCTGAATCCCGGATCGTTCCATGTAGCCTGTATGCGCCTGAATAAGATTTGTGAGCAGAAAGTGCTCATAACACTCACATGGTACACCTCGTACTCGACCACTTCCTGAGTGGCAGATTTGGATCCTGAAGTGCTTGATACGGGTCGTGTATATGTATGTACGACACTACCTATGGGTTTGAATGAAACTGCATCTTCTTGAACGCGTGTAAGGAATGCTGCTTCGTCTGTATCATAGTCTGACAAGCCCAAAGTCAGTCAAAGAGCAGCGTGTATGAGGAGTGGGACGTACCAGGGGGTATGAACTCTTTTAATATACCTTCCACATTGTCCACGGTCGTAGACGAATCTAGCTTTTGAGCGTAACTGACAGAGAGGTATTGTGCTAGAGAGCCGGAGGCAAATCGAAGCTGCAGGCCACCAGTTGGATGTTCAGCGCCGGTATCAACTCGTGAAAGTGGGTATAACGCACGTCAATTACCAAGTCCTGGTAGCCGTAAATCTTTTCATCCTCTCCGTAGATCTGGACAGAATGAAAGAACATCACGAGAGAGTGCATAATGGCATAAAATAAAAACATACAGGGTATGTAAATGTCGGATGAAACGCTCCATAAGTTTCCTCGCCTCCAAGCACCTGTTTATCCTCTTCTGCTCGCACTACAGGAAACGCGTCAGTTGTCTTCTAGTGGGCGAAAAGTAGCCTACCTAGCGAAAGAGTAAGAGCCTCATTTGCATCTGCTGTCCAGTCCACCGTTGCCATATTTTCTCAGATCGAAGCTTGGATGTTCTAATGAGCGTTTGGCAAATGTACCCGTGACGCGTTGTGTATCCGTCTTTGTCACTTATCACGTGATGCGCAACTCGATGACGCAGCAGTACTTGGTTTATGACTGAGCAGGCTCGGCACCAGCCTATATATTTATAGTGAAGACGAGCAATTGCTCGTCTTGTTCAAGGTGGCCCTTCTATTGCAAAACGCGCTATCCGTTGCGAAAATCACATCATCCCAGTCCTTAGTGCGCTCACAGGCATCGCAGCGGCTCTTTCAGGTAATAGCGTGCCGCATCCATTATCATAGGTCACCTGAGCATCTGATCTTCCCTTCTTCCCTTCTTCCTTAAACCACAGATATCAAGATCATTTTCGAACACCAGCACCAAGATGGCACCACTCAATAAACTACAAGCGAAGTACGATTATATCTGCATCGGTGGTGGAAGCGGAGGTGTCGCTTCATCGGTGTGTTATTTCAACAGGGTCATCGTGCGGCAATGCTAACTGCCCCGCCCCAGCGGCGCGCTGCGTCTTATGGCAAGAAAGTTGCCCTCATTGAATCGTCGCCGAATCTCGGCGGTACTTGCGTGAATGTTGGCTGCGTTCCCAAGAAAGTACGTCATTCAACGCTCCTCATTTTCTACCGCTCATGAGTGTGGCTGGTGTAGATTATGTGGCATGCGGCCGACCTCGCGGATCGTCTCCGTCACGCAAGCAACGGGTATCATTTCCAAAATGTCTCTCCCCCACAGTTCAACTGGGCATCCTTCAAACCGCAGCGTGATGCCTACATCCGCCGACTAAATGGCATATACGAGAAGAACCTCGAGAAAGAAAAGGTAGACTATTACGGTGGCACAGCCAGTCTAGTTTCGCCCAACGAGGTTCAGATCACGCCCTCCGACGGTGGCGAGCCATACGTCATCGCAGGTGACTACATCACCATTGCCACTGGAGGTCGCCCAACCCTGCCAAGCGACGATCAGATTCCCGGCGCGAGTCTTGGAATCGACTCGGATGGTTTCTTTGACCTTGAGGACCAGCCGAAGCGCGTGGCTGTCGTCGGCGCAGGATACATCGCTGTTGAGCTCGCCGGTGTGCTCAATACGCTGGGAAGTGAGACACATCTTCTCATCAGACGCGAACGCGTTCTCCGCACCTTTGATCCCATTCTCCAGGATACACTTACGCCTTGGATGGAGCACACTGGAATCAACATCCACAAGAATACATCGGTCGTTAAGGTTGAAGGCCAGAAGGGTGGTGAATTGACTGTGCACCTCAACGATGGCACACAACTCAAGGTAGACTGCGTGCTGTGGGCTATTGGGCGCCACGCAAACACTCAGGGTTTGGGTCTCGAGGAGCTGGGGATACAGCTCGACAAGAAGGGCGACGTGGTCGTGGATGAATTCCAGAAGGCCTTATTTGTGGAGGGCAAACCTCAGCTGGAGAATATCTTCGCGGTCGGTGACATTCAGGGTAAGGCGCTCTTGACGCCTGTTGCTATTGCGGCAGGTCGGCGGCTCTCAAACAGGCTGTTTGGGCCTGAGAAATTCAAGAACGACAAATTGTCATATGAGGACATCCCAACAGTCGTTTTCTCGTGAGCATACCGCTCTTTTTATCGTAAAGCTCGTTTATAGCGCATATAGGCACCCCACCATTGGCACAGTGGGCCTTACAGAGCCTGAAGCTCGTCAGAAGTATGGCTCTGCCGTCAAGATCTGTGTGTCTGCGTTCTTTCAGTTCAAATGCGCAAAAATATTTATTGCAACTTAGACAAGTCCTCGTTCCGCTCGCTTTACTTCTCCCAGATCGAAGAAGAGCACAAGGAGCCCACCGTGTACAAGCTCGTCGTTGTTGGCGAAGAAGAACGCGTGGTCGGTGTACATATCATTGGACAAGGAAGCGACGAGGTATTGCAAGGCTTTGGGGTGGCTATCAAGATGGGAGGTGAGTACTTTCCATCGTCCTACCTTTTTGTTGATAACTGATGCGTTTGTTAAGCCCGGAAACAGGACCTAGATGACACAGTTGCTATCCATCCGACGTCTGCTGAAGGTGAATGAGCTTCATTACTTTACTTAGATATGACATGCTGACGAGTGCACGCAGAACTGGTTACTCTTCGTTAAGCCAGCCACCTTGGTAGAGTTCGGGCGTCATACAACATAAAATCATGTGTACTTGTAGAAGAAAGAATTTACTGGCCTTTCAACAGTGGAAGCTCACTGACGCGAAGAAGGAAACGACTCGACTAGTTTGACTAGGAGAAGTATTGCAGCGATGCCGTTCTACACCTGCCCCGCAAAAATAACGGTGAGCACTGAAGCATGCACTTACAAGTCTTGCTATCCGAAACAACCTACCTCATTTATCAAAGCACGCGAGCGCCGAATGACTGGAGCGAACAAACTTGTCTGGTCGTTGTTACCAAAGCTGGTAAGATCAAGGCGTATCAGCGACGCGTGCACCTTATGGTGGCGCGTCCTTTCCATTTATATCCTACGAAGAAAACACATAGGGTTTGAACCAACTTGCAGATGGAATAGACTTACCCAGCATGCAGTATCAACAAAGCGCCTTGAAGTGCGCAAGCTCTTCTGCATCGTTGGAATTACTATGGGCGGGCACCAGGTACTAATCACCTTCTTTGAAATATCACAGGCCCTCTCTTAGATCCTCTGCCAAGGCATATCACTGCCCGGTTGTGTTCCCTGATTTTGTAGAGCGGTTTGTCGCCACACGCGCATCTGCTCGCACAAGTACCCAAGCTCGATGGTGTGTACTTTGTATGGAGTCATTTATTTCTAACCCAGCAGACATTTTTATGTCAGGAGATCAAGGAGTTTTTGCAATTGCAAGCGCCTTGATTGCGAAATTTCCATTTGAAGTGTGCGGAACTTCCTCATATGTACCCTGGTCATGGTGCTCATGTAGCGTTCGAAGGGAGCGACTGGAGTTTAGGATAGCAGAGGATGAAGCAATGAACCGGAGGAAAACCCGTTGAGGAGAATGGCGTAGGTATATCAGGATCAGAGAGTAGCAGTATTTGCGGAAAATTCGATGATGATGAGGCGGAGCATCGGATTTAAGTTGTAAGTGGGACGAGGAGACACTGCGCCTTGAAGCAGAACGGCCGGTTCTGGATAGATGGTAAAAAGAATAATACATTTAATGCACAAGTTTCATAAAGAAACGACGGTATCAACATTTCCCTACAATAGGACCTGCGAAACCTAAAAGCAAATCAAAGCTTGCTTAGGTCTCTCCGTACCTTGAAATCGCAGCCGGTCTTCGCCTTGACTTCATCAAGAGTTACGCCCTCTTGGAGTTCAACAAGCTCAAGGTGACCGTTCTTCCTGTCGACGTCGAAAACGGCCAACTCCGTGATGATTTGACTAACAGTACGGGCACCCGTGAGCGGAAGAGAGCATTTCTTCAAGATCTTCGGAGTGCCGTCTTTCGCACAGTGCTCCATCACCACTATAACCTTTGTCTTGTCGGGGTTAGACACCAGGTCCATAGCTCCTCCTATACCTGTGAATGTGATCGACAGTGAGAACGCCGCGGAAGACGGAAGACGGAATACGTCCAAATCACGTACCTTTGACCAATTTTCCGGGAATCATAAAGTTGGCAATATCACCTGCTTGCGATACCTGCATAGCCTATAAGATAAACCAGGCTATTGTGAGATCATCCCGGAATCAAGTGTGTGAAAATGCTCACGCCGAGAATGGAAACATCGACGTGACCACCGCGAATCATAGCGAATGATTCACTCGAGTCTGTCAGTAGGGTCAGCAAGTGAAGCTGAATCATACAACGACTATCTGAAAACATACCAAAGATCGAAGCGCCTGGCAGCAAGGTCACAGTCTCCTTACCCGCATTGATGAGATCCCTACAAAGAGAGGCTTAGGACGAAGAAACACTCCTTGCCTGCGCTACTTACGGATCTACTTGCTCTTTCGTAGGGTATGGCCCCATACCGAGGATGCCATTCTCGCTTTGCAGCCAAACGCTCACACCAGGCTCGAGGTATCCGGGAACAAGAGTGGGCATGCCAATACCGAGGTTTACGTAGTATCCATCTTTGAGCTCTTTGGCAGCCCGCTTTGCAGTACGATGACGCATTTTCTGGGCGATTTCTTGCTCAGGTGTTAGAGTGGATTGTTCAGCAGAGGATGAGGAGCTTGGCGCGAGCTTCGTGTACTCTATCCGTTTCGGCTCGGTGGACTGAACAATTCGATCGACATAAATGCCTGGAATATGAATGGCATTTGGTGAAAGAGAACCAGTAGGCACGATCTCGTCTGCCTGCAAGTAATGCATCAATTTCTGCAAACTACCGCGACGCCCCGACTCACCTCCACTATCGTGAGTTTTGCATTCTTTGCCATGACTGTACCAAAGTTCTGCTGAGCGTACCTGCGCGAATCAACATGCTCAGCGCTCAAGCAGGCAACCAAAAACGACGGCCAATTTCCTCACCGGAAAACACAGTTGCCAACCTCATCGACTTTCCATGCGTGAACGAAAGCGACATCACCAGCGATAGCCGGTTCCATGATATACTTGCGACCTCCAAATTCTCGTGACTCTTTCTTAATACCTGGTATCTTGACTCCATTGGCAAATCCTCCTTCATTGTATCGTGTTGGAATAGAACCGTCCTCTACTGCTGTTGATGCTCCAGTAGGGGTATAGAAGGCTGGGATACCAGCGGCATGGGCACGGAGACGTTCGATGAGTGTACCTTGGGGGCACAGCTCCAAAGATACCTCGCCCTTAAGATATAGGGCCTCGAAGGCCTTGTTTCTGGACGGACAAGACGTTCACCCTCATGCCGTCCCCGACAAGATGAATCACTCACCCGCCAGGGTATGATGCGACCACTTTATCAATCTGCTTGCTGTTGAACAACATTCCTATGGACATTCATAAGGTTCACGGATCATGGACAGGTGTGGATACACAAACCGAGCCCAGAGTTGCCTGCGCCAGCATTGTTGGAAACTCCTGTTAGCTTTGTGACTTCCTTGCGCTTGACCAAGGCAGAAAGAAGTGTGTCTTGTTGTATCCTAGCTTAGTTACACCGCTCAAGATCCCTCCTCTATTGAGACTCACCTGGCACACCAGCCAAACCGAAACCTGAGCGTTGCGTGGCACATCACACGTCTGGTATAAGACATGAAATGCGACGATACTCACCACCACACAAAAGGACATCTCCTGACTTCACATCCTTAACTGCTTCGTCGACAGACTTCCATACCTTCGACTTGTTGGGTAGCGGAAGCTCCGTAGGAGTACTGTACCATCTTGCTCTAAGCAAGACGGTTGTACGGAGTTTGAAAACTGGGACGAGCGTCGCTCTCGAGACGCACGTAGCCAACATGGATGGGGTTCAAGTCTTCGTGCTCTTTCCCCAGATCATGACGATGTTATAAGTGTGTTTGGTTGGTCACATGTCCACAACTTTTTGTTGAGCACTAGCTCATCCGGAGCTCAGCGGAGTCCCACTCGCACTGAACCCCTGCATGCGATGCTCCGGTATGCATGGCGATAATTCTTTTTTCGGATGGATAAAAGTATAGATGGGCCAAGAATAAATGAGGATTCATTCTTCCCTAACCGCCTACACTTATATCTATCAAGATACACTGACAAGAATGGGTGGTCAATTCACTAGGAGGGACACTGAAGCAAGAAAGGGAGTGATTCGTCAGTACGGTACGAAGGGGATTCCATTATCAGCGGAGTGGCACTCCTGACAGATATACAAGTTTATATCCGAGTTGTTATGTTCACACTACTGCACATTTGGAACGGTATTACGATCTTTCTTTAGCTTTCATCGCCTCCTCGCGGGGCCTCTTGGTTTCGCGAATGAGGGTTTTGCAGGGTCATCCTGCCGAGCACCACTATTATTGGTAATGGAACCTGCGGGTTCATCATGGTTGAGACTAGTCTTGAGGAACGCCTCATCGAGTTCCGTTGGGTCCGACGTTTCAATCCTCTTCGTTGCAAGCGGGAATGTTGACCCAATTTCTGCCAATAAATCCTTCGCCGCGAGATAAGTCGACATAGCCGCTGATGAATAAAGCATTCTGTATCGAACAGGTGATGTCGTAGGGCAAGAGTATATGAAGACTGGGCAAGAAAGTCAGATATATTGCGTGCGATCCCAGCGGGTACAACGACACAAACCGATGTCTCCGCCTGACTGAGAATATGAGTTTGTCCACGCATAGAACACATATGCTAATGAAAGAACGTGTGAGCGCAGCACATATCGCGACACAAAGAGCCCGTACAGGGTTGGTCACTTGGTATGCTTGAACTCAAATGATCCACTGTTACATCTGCGAAAGAGTCCAGCTCAAGTGATTCGGTTGATGGTTCGATTTTCTAAAATGATGTGTGAATGTCTCGCGCAATGTAAACAATGGTGATATGAACCAATATGACGATCCGACTATCATCTCGCGAGCCAAGCCCCTTCACAGCGTCCTCAGCGTCCGATGACCAAGACAGGCCTACGCGTTGACCAATGTGGTTCTTTCTTGCATTGCTGCCTTCATAACTGTTTCCAGCTTCTCGTTCAGCTGCCTTGATATTTGCAATTTCTTGCTCCCGCGCGCTCAGAGGTTTGGGTGCAGCCTGGTGCTTCTTGTGAGCCTCATATGATTCAGGTGTCACGTCCGCCTTGGAGGTTGCAAACAGACTGTCCGTGAAAACAGTCGAGCCTAGCGACTTGGTCAAAGAACCACGCGTGGAAGCATACAGTGTCTGAAATGATCAGATAGAGTTCAGCGATATCAATAACAATACCTACCTTATCCCGAACGTTGGCAAAATCTGGCACATAGCTGATTGCAAGCCATTCTGAAGGAGGGTCATCGAGACGCGCCAGGATGTAGCATGGTTCCTTCTCTTCAAGATGATCTTGAAGTTGTACCAAATCCTCATTCAAGGATTCGGTGACTGACAGGGAGGTTACCGAAACGAGAGACTCTGTCTGAAGATATGAGATTACTAAAGACGCAGACAAGCAAACTGGCAGAGACCGTCCTGAATGATGACTTTGATGAACCGAACGTTCTTTGTCTCGACAGCATCAGCGAATTCCTTTGTAAGCTCGGGGGAAACACCAATCCCAGAGGTAGCGGCCATCGCGTTTGATGTGGTATACTGCAAGTTGTCACGGTAGTAAAGTTGAACTGAACCCAAACTGACTCGGAATCAAAATGTAGCTTGAACTGGCAGTTCTTGTAAACCCTTTCGTTTTTATATTGCTCCAGGCAGCTGCGGTCAGCTCGTCACCTCGAGGAGGATCACATTGTCAAGCACCGCGCTGATCTATAAAAACTGCTTGGTGACTGCTCTCACTGCGCACAGAGCATTGCATGTTCAAGACGGCGTGGGATAGTACACCACGACGGTGACAGCAACGTTGAGTCCGGGTATATAATCAGCTTGGTCTGAGCTATCTACCCAATCCTTGTCAAACAGCGCTTTGACAAGCGGACTGTAACAAGTAATCCTGTGCTTGGGACGGTCGCTCAAGACATATACCGCCTCTCAGAATGGGAGGGAAGATTTTGGTTGGTTCGACGATACTATTAAGTATGTCTCACTGCTTGGCTCACCCTACAGCACTAAACCAAGCTATGATTCGATTCAACTTCATATCAGTACGGTGCCCCGATCATCCAACAGGTTTTCCGTTAGAAATTATAGGCCCTGTCCAAAGAGTAGGTGCAGCAGCACACCGTGGGTGCCTCAATTCGCCCTAGCGATCACACATGTGGTATTTATGTAGTATGTCTACTTCAACACCGCTGACGCTGACAGCCATGATGCAGGATGTCATGGAACAGTATTCAGATCTGAGAGGTCGGATCCCGAAGTGAAAACGATGAAAGCCACTTGGCACAAGCACAAAATATTCTGAATATTCTGGATCTTATGCGCATCGACTAGGTCCTGTAACTGATATACCACGAAGCGATGGTATCCCACTCAGCCAGCATGACATGCTCCTGACGTGATTGCTATTCGCTTGCTGAACGCCGAAGAAAGGAATGCAACCATTTTCATATGCGGACACAAACACATTCTTCCGGTGGGGGTTATTGTAACCCTCCGATAGTCTATTCGGTTTGCGACGCGACAAGTTCCATTTCTCGAGCCGAACATATGTAAGTATACGGCAGCGAATAAATTTCTCACATTGAAACCGCGATAAATTTTCTAGTCTCGAAGTTGAAGCAGAAACACTGCTTCTGGCGCGAATTAGGTTGGGAACGGCTGGCTAGTGACGTGACGAATTCCACCATTCAGCCGCTAACAGCCTGAAATATAAATTGAACACGATCGCATCCCAAAATTCTCGGGACAAACGCCTTGAAACTTTCGGTGAGTGGCCCTTGCAGGCAACGCTGTATCTGTTTCACTCAATCGATACCACGCAACTTTTCCTGGACTCGCTATAGTCTCTTCGCGCACTCAACTGCACAATCAAACTTGCTGGTGTGTGGGTTCCTCGTACTGATGGCCATCACTGATGCATAACCATATTAGATATCATGAAGCCTATTCAGTTCGCCATCCTTGCCATTTTCGCCGCTGTCGCTGGGGTGAAGGCAACTGCTACCAATGACACAGTCTGCGAATCGGCATGCTATACTGCGGCACCTGACTGTGGGGAAGGGTCGATAGCCGTCGAAACTAGCTCAGACTGTTGGACCTGCTGCACCGTGCCCGATGATGAACCTGATTACTAGCCATCGAGTTTGTACAGATGATGTATCGCGTCTAGTCCGAGTCACCTATGATTCTGAAGAGCACAATTTCAGATGACTCAAGTCTGACCGATCGGTGGTCAACTTTGCTTGAACACGTAGGCCAGCCCATCAGAAAATCAATTGCTTCTCTGTTTGCTTGCACTTTGGTTCAATCTTTTCTTGTTGGGAGAACACCCATCCCTGACTAATGTCATGGACTTTTCACAAGGGCACTCACAGCTGTTGCGCAAATCACACGACAAGTCATGCCAGAAACAAGACATCTACGCCAGGTAATTACAACCGAATGAAGAAAATTTAGACGCAGTCTCATGGTGCAAAAATAAAGTCATAGGCTATTTGTTCACGCCTATCCTTACAGCATGTGACAGTCTTGACCTCTTGGTCATCAAGTCCTCATAATAGGATATAAAACGCAACAAGATCAGTCGCAGTCACAAAGACATTAGCTGTGTCAAAAGCGGTTTGGTTTCAGATGCTATTACGGGGAGTGTTCAGTCGCATCCTCGGGCCTCAGGCCGAGAGAAACAACTTACTCACACCAACACGACCATTCACTATGCATTACTGCCCAAGGCCCAAAGCATATTTGCAAGCTTTCCCGCTCCTTGGGCCGCTCGTAGTCGCGTTGAGTGCCCACCTCCGCTGGCAGTTGAGCCTTGACGCGTGATCAGAGAGCCCTCATGGCATGACACGCGCGTTGAAATGTTGGTGACGCTAGCCTCTAGGTATACGTAGATGTACCATTGATCGTCAAGAAACAAGCGTCGGTGCAAATAGACCATTAAGACGAAGAAAGTAGTAAGAGGGTTTTGAATAGATGAGGTTAGTAGACATTGGGTAGATGACCGAGTATATAGTTCCGTAGCACTTGTATCCATGTCACCACCCAATTGATATACCCAGGGTGCGTCAGGGCGACAAAGAGCACTGAGGTGCTTGGCCTATGTTCTCTTTCATTTCTGCGCTTGTAGTGAGCACTACCAGGAACTCGTCAACCCTAGCCCATTCTTCATCAAAACATTGAAATTGAGGTGTGGAGCGCAAGTCCTTGAGCAATCCGAAGCGGTCCACAGTGATCAACTTCGGCAGCAACGTATGCAGTTGACAAGCCACGGCGATGGAATCGACAATTGGAGACATCCCCACAAAAATTCTGGTCACATTCTCGTTGGGAATGGTTTTAGAGAACGGCTCGCTGTTGGTATCAACTGAGCATGCGCAGAAAGTCATTTCAATGGTGCGCAAGCCCCGGCAATGTTGTATGAGGTAGGTGAGTCCTATGAAGGTGAGAGATGGTGGGACCGACCAACAACTACCACTTCCAAAGCGGAATTCTTGGAGCAGAGGCCATGATTGCGTCATTCTCCTGAGCAACGCATCGTCGATAGCCGAAGTGCAGATCCAATCGAGGTCTAACTTTGTTAAGCGACTGAAAGGCAATAACGGGGCGACTGCATCGAAGGCAAGTACAAAACGGGGATCAGCAAGGGCGATTAAATGGTGCTCGAAGTCGAAGTCGAACGAAAATTGCTCGAGAGCAGGAGAGAAACACTCCGAAAAAGAGGCGATAATTTCTGGAATAAGCAGTGGATCATAAGGTAGCGCTGAATTGCTGTCATCGATGACCAAAAACACTGATCGACAGGAGAGAAAACGGATGTTTCTGAGACAGCGAGCAAGAATTAGAAGCGACGGTACAAGGATGTGCACTCGATCGATTTGGGAGGCAAATGTTGGAGTGGCATTGGTTTGGGTGTTGTCGATATCGTGCGTTCTGAAGTACAGAGACTTCAACGACGGTAAAGAAGCCAGGTGAAGGAGCGCTCGTGTGTCAAGGACCCCGACCGTAAGATGGATGAGCTCCCGCAAACCACATACAGCGTCGGATATTGCATCTGAACTGCTGTCTTCAGAGTCAAACCCGTATATACACTCAAGTTCCCGAATGGATGGACACCGAGCACTGAGGGAAGTTAGCAGGGTTGATTTGGCAAAGGAGGGTACCCAGTGGGATGATAAAATAGTTCCCAGCTCGATCGACCTGATGCTTGGCACAAGAAGGCAGCGCAATAGCGGAGTGAAGCATTCTCGGTTATCCAACCATTGCAATCTACAAAGATTGGGCAACAGCGTAGGTGATGGCGCAGAAATGAGCGCTTGCACAACCCGATCGTCTATGGCATCTAGCTTGGAGGGATTGAAGCTCAAGGAGCGGACACGGTGTGCATATTGAGTAAAAATCCTCCACTCTCTGATGAAGGGAGGTCTGATGAGCGTCTGTTTGAAAATTGTCGGTATTCCATATCATGTCGATCTGCGTTGGACATGTCTAGCTCACCAGATTTCCTTGCACATCTCTGTTACTTACACCTTCAGGGAAGCATGATATGAGTGGTCCGAACCCATCAATTTGTTTCCAAAGCATATCAAGTGCAGGCTCCTTGAATTTTCTACACGTTCTTGCAAGAGCAGCAAGTGTGGCACAGGATATTGGTTTGTCACAGTCTTCATGGATAGTTGCGAATATGTCAAGTAGGGTTTCTGCGGGCAAGAGACAGATATGCATGACAAGAGTTGAACTATTTCGCCACTGGAGCTCGAACCAGTGACAACTCAAGAGAGATGTTGTGCTATGTCACGTAAGTAGTACAAATTGAATCCAAATTTAGTGTCAAAAACACTAGTCGACGCGTCACGCTGTCTTGCAACGCTTCCCCAGGCCATTCACTAAAGACTAAGTCCAAGTTAGAGAGAAAACCTATTTGTAACTTAATCTACACTATACATTATTGGTGGAGTATGGGTACATTCTACTATAGATGCAACATATGTAATCGTGTCAAGTGAAAACCAAGCCAGTGCTCGATCAATGTGAATGCCAAATCTAGAATCGTCAACCTCACTGCATGCCCAAGGAGCCCATGAAACTCGATAGATCGAGCCCCTCATACTCATCTTCTGCGGGAATGTCTTCAAGGCCCGCCAGGAGGTTCTTCTGGCTGACAGGACCCGCTGGCGCTTTCGCCTTCTTCTTTGCCGCTGCGTCTTCCTCTTCCGTTGTTCGTCTGAAAAGGTCGAGAACAAGATCTGTATCCATCGACGACAGACCAGAGTTCTGCTGCGTCACAACCGAGTTCGCAATGTTGAGCTTGAAGCGTTGCAAGCTATCGGACGCTGTCAGGGACTAGATACAACAAGGAAAAATATAGAACTAACCCCATGATCTTCTCTTCCAACGTGCCTTTCGTGATCAAGCGATATACATTGACAACCTTTTTCTGCCCAATACGGTGAGCTCTGTCCATAGCTTGAAGATCCTTCATAGGATTCCAATCATGCTCCACAAATATTACAGTATCTGCTCCAGTGAGGGTCAGACCAAGCCCACCGACGTGTGTTGTCAATAAAAGGCAGTCAATACTGGGATCTGAGTTGAATGTTTGAACAATAGCATGCCGCTTGTTGGGGTCCGTTCCGCCATCGAGTCGCATGTATGTCACTGAAGGCATGTGTTGCTTGAAGAGATCATTTTCGATGATGTCCAACATTTGCTTCATCTGACAGAAAATTAGAGCACGATGTTGGGAGAATGCACTGCTCGACTCCGACATGCTCTCCGCAGGATCGATCTTCCCACTTTCACCTGTAACCGAAGAACTGCCTCCAATACCGCAATCTGTGAGTAATTGCCTGTCCCGCACTTGAGTATCACCACTGGGTTAATAAATGAAGACAATACCGTAGAGCAAGTAATTTTGGTGCGTGCTGAATATCGTTCAAGGTGCCGATCTTGCAATTGATCTTGGCGAGGGCTGCAATGACAGCGTCTCGGTTGGTTTTCAGGATCAGTGAAGGATGATTGCAAAGTTTGCGGAGATACTGTAATGATTGGAAGACATGCTGTTGTGGGGCATCCTTGGCGGCTCCTTGGATAGCATCCTCCGCATTCGTCTTGGCCTGTGAGCCGGAGAAGTCGTCATACAGAGTTTTTTGCACCTCTGACAGCTCGCAGTAGTAGTCCTGAATGATCTTCGGGGGTAGGTCATTCAAGACATCCTCTTTCAGCCGTCGTAATAGGAAGGGCAGGACTTGCTTATGCAGAGCCTCGAGAGCAAGAGCGGCTACATAGAATTTGGTTAACCACAGACTAGTTCTCAGGACGCGTCGCTTACCAGCTTCACCAGTCTTCGCTTTTCCATCACGATTTGACAGAATTGGCTTACTGAATCGCTCGTTGAACGACGTTTCGGTCCCAAGGAAGCCAGGCATCAAAAAGTCAAAAAGACTCCAGAGTTCCAACACGTTATTCTGGATTGGAGTGCCCGAGAGAAGAAGACGATGTTGTGCATGTATAGCCTTGACAGCTTTTGTGAGTTTGGTCTTTGCGTTCTTGATCACGTGTCCTTCGTCGAGGATGCAGTATAGCCAGCTGAAATCTTCTAGGCTCGCAATATCGTTCCGCACAACTTCGTATGAGGTGATGACCACATCTTTCTTGGACAGTTTAGGAAGAAGCTTTGCACGCTCCTTGGAATTTCCGGTGTAGAGAATGGGTTGTAAGTTCTCGGAATATTTTAGGATTTCGTAGTACCAGTGACCGGTAAGAGTAGGAGGGCAGACGATGAGGGATGGAAGATGGACAGCATCAGGCGATTGTGTTTCTTCATACTTTTTGGCTCGCTCTTCGTGCTTGCCGGCCAGTATGCAAATGGACTGTAAGGTTTTTCCAAGACCCATATCTAGAATATGTCAGAATGACACGAGAAGTCTCATAGGAAACTCAAACACACCATCACAAAGAATCCCGTGTAACTGATACTTAGCCAAGAATGCCAGCCAGTTAACACCTTCCTGCTGGTATTTACGGAGTTCCGCCTTGATAACAACAGGTATGGTGTACTGTTCGACTTTGCTACCATCAAGAAGTTGAGTGAGGAACTGTCGCTCCGTTTCGCGCCTCTTCAGCAGCTCCCCAGGGAAGCCGGGAGGGTCAGGCAAACCAGCCTGAAAAATATGTAAACGTGGGGAATGTATACCAGGCAACAGTACACACCTCCAATGGAACCATCTTGATCAAGGACGCGAATGTATTGGTAGTCGCAGAGCGAATGTCGTCATCGGGATCGCTCATGCGCCCAAGAACAGGGACGATAAGAAAGATGACGTAGGGTAGTGCTTTGAGGTCGAGGTGCTGGACGATATCTGCGCGAGGTATGACTGACAGAACATTCAAAAGCAGTTGAGCACGTACGATAGACAGCTTCTGCAGCACCCTGACGATTTGACAGCACGATAGCGTCTCCCAATAATGGGATGATCTTCTCGATGGCAAATAGCATGGCGTCGGAAGTCATCACATTACAGATGGTAGCAAAACACCGTGCAGCTGCCTGCCGAATGATGGCATATCGGCTACGCAACGCCATGGCAATAGCGGGGAACAATTCTGCAAGCTTGGGCCAAAGATCGGGGTGAAAAGAAGGCACAACGGCTTCGAGGACACTGAGCGAATCAATGACATCTTGTCCATATTGTTTATCCATGAGGACGTCAGCTTCGTGTGGTAACTCTGAGTAGAGGTCAGGAAAATTAGAAGCATAGATAAAATTTCTTTGCACCTGTTGTGCATGCGCTCAGCAGCCCTCCTGCCATGGAAATCCACATCTTCGGGATGACCTGAAGGAGCTGGGAGCCAAACTTGGTCGACAGCTGATCAAATGCTAGGCAAGCTCCTCGTCTTGATAACTGTGCTTTTGCAGCATCATCGCTCGACTTGGCACTGTCAGCACCCTTCGAGGTATCCTTGCCATTCTTTGCTGGCTGCGGCGGTTGCTTTGACCAAGAGGTGAGGGACAAAATACCCTTGTATACAGACCGCGAATAGGCAAATGTCGGTGTTTGTTCCACATCTTGACAAAGGAATGTGCACAAATTCTTGACGATTTTGTCGGGCGGCTGCGTAATATTGTGCTGGAAGCAGAAGTCAATGAACATTGCTACTGCCACTGCTGAGCGGGTCTGGAGATCTAGATTTTCCTCGTTCTGAAACAAAGTAAGTTATGTTTTAGCAATCGAGAATCAACAATCAACACACCTTGATGCCGTTCATGATGCCCTTGACCACAGGACTAACTTTATCTGGGGTGCTTCGGAGCGCAACGAAGGCGGCAGCAAAAGCCGCTGAAACACGTGTGTCGTGCTGTGCCTTGACCTCTGAGTATTGTTCGATGCTAATCACGACCTTCTGTCTCTTCTCGGCAATAACTCCCAACTCGCGCTTCTTCGTACGCCCAAGGCTGTCTTTCAGTTTCATATACATTGGGCCAACCGCTTCTTCTGCAGTCTCGATGGTGAAACTGTTCGGTTTTGTGCCAGTGATGTCAATCTCGTCACCAAGATGAGGAATCAAGGAGATAGGGATCTTGCAATCAGTCGCGAAGCAACGAAGAAGCGCAGCGCACTCTGAGTGGATGCGGTGTAGCGTGAACGCCATCTCGTGATATGCGATTGGAGGCGTGCCCTGCAACCAAGCCAAACACATCGTGCTGAGCTCTGCTGCAAGAGGAAACGCCTCGATGATGGGTGCAGATGGCGACGTTGCATCATACGCGCGGGCCCATTCCTCTGAGACGAGAGCGGCCAAGAATTTCTGGAGCATACTGGTTGACTGCAAGTAATGCACAAGTATGGGCTGGAAGAGCTCGTCGATGGACTACAAAAAGGCATCAGAAGAAAATTGACGCGCGCTAAAAAAAAACGCAGCACCTTGGGAGGCCAATAAATCATCAAATACGCCATGGAGGTAGCCGCGGCGATTCGAGCCTGCATAATTACCCCCGCACTGACTAGTGATAGATCCTGGGCGAGCATGTTCTTGTCAACGTTATGTCTCTCCAGCGGGCCTGCGTCACTCTCATCTTCCGTGAAGGCAGGGTAATGAAACGTTGAGCAGTCGATTGGAGCACCAAGTGGCGTCATCATGGTCGAGTACCAATCAAGGACGGTTTGCTGCTTCACCAACTTCTTAATCCATCCAGGCACATCCGCTACGACCTCGAGCGCTGTCCGCCATGCTGTCAAAGTGACAGCGCGAATGTCTGCCCGCTCTTCCACAATCAAATTCTGGAAAAGAAGGCGAAAGAATGGCGTGACGATCCATTCACGAGGAAGGGAAGCCACGGTCATGAAGGAAAGCAACGTCTTGACCACGGCGAGACGAACGTTGGGGATTGTGTGTCGGAAGAAGGGGAAGAGTGTGGGTGCCAATTCCGTGAGCGGGAGGCTATTGGGGACCGTCAGATATCCGACCGGGAACAAGCAAGAGAAGCTTACGACACGCTAGCTTGTGCAAGGATATCAATGACCTTGCTGTAAGTTACGAGTTTACCTACCGCCCGTGAGTACTATTCTGTAAGGCAACAATTAGAATCTCACCCAATAAATCCATTACTGCGCCAACACTTGAGCTCAAGTCATCTTTCATGCCGCGTAAGCAATTCCAGAGAACCAAAAGCACTCTATCCAGGGATTCTGGAAGTTGCTCGACAAGATGACCCGCGATCGGAAGCAAACAAGATGCGGCCACAGCACGGACATCATCGTCAGGATCACTGAGACTGCATGACCAGATGTTAGGAAGGGTGACCATGGATACCATGTGAAATGCTTACCCGAGCACTGCGGCATCAACGACGCCCTGCAGAATCTCCTTGCCTGTATCACCAGCTGCCTCAAAAAGATCACTTCGCACAGCAACCTCGTACTTGATCCCGAGAAGACCTGCATGCCGAACTTCCCATACATGACTACCATCGCCTTTCTTGCTCTTGGTTGGTTTGTGTCCCAACGGGAAGTCTTGTCTAATCATCTGTAGTAGTATGGAGTGGACATGCTTCACGGACTGCTGAGGCATGTGGAGTAGCAGAGAAGCAAGTGTTTGTGACACTGTCTCACGAACTGGTGCAACAACCTGGATGGAATTCAGGAATATATACTAAATATGCACAAAAAACGAACCTGGTCGGAGACAAAGTCCCCGAAACGGTCGAGGACGAAAACGCACAAAAGTTTTGCGGCTAAGTCATTACACCAACGCTCATGCGCAAGAGAATTTTCCTCCGCGGATAAACCGTCTGAATTTTGCCGTCAAAATCAAGCTCGGCATGATCACAAGATAAACGTCACCTTTCATGCCACCCGATGATCCTTGAACTTTGAGCAACTCGCGCAAAGCCATAGCAGCACCATGCCTCGATTCCCAATTTGCAGAGAACAAGTCAACTTCTAGGAGGGCTACAATACCCTGCCACATCCAACCCCCTGGAGTGACTTCCAGTGCATGTGATTGTTGGGCCGCTTTCGGTGACACAGCACCACCCTTTAATGGATCTATGATGACCTTCTCAGGAGAGAAGGTTTTGACAGCGTCAGCAGGACTGTCTACTCGTGATCTTGGCGCGTCCTGTGGTTCGGCCGATACCAACCGCGCTCTGGGCGATTAAGACAGTGAGATACATAACAAAGCATTGTCGTAATTGTACCTACTTGTTTGATGGCCCTGCAGGAGTCGTGTTGTACTTAGCGCCGGCAGGGGGTGGAGGGGGTGCCGCGACAAAGGCAGAGTTGCCTGGTTTCCGTTTACGCTTCAGACGATTTCGTTCGCGTGCTGAAAGACCATTGAGACAATCTCCTTCTGTTACGGGTGACGACGCAGCGGGCGTAGTGCTCTTAGGGCGAGATAGTGATGGAGGTGGCGAACGTTCGCGTTTGACTGAAGCCTCAACCTCCATCGGGGAGTCTAGGGGAGTAGCTGTGTCCTCTCTCTTAGGAGAAATTTCGTTGTCATGATCAGTTTCAGTCTCCCCTTCGATGGCGAGTTCCTTGTCCAGGTCCATGTCATCTGCGGCACCCACACTTTCAAGGAAGTCGAGGCCTAGCCGACCCATGGCCTCCTTACGAGCTCTCTTAACCTCTGCCGCGTTTGCAAGGATGCCAGTTGGCTTTGAAAATTCTTTTCCGGATGATGCAAGAAGCAGCACGCCTTTCTGCATGAGCTCTTGCACAGAAAATGCAGGAAAATCGGGAGAAGATGTATCTAGATCTAGGGGAGGTTTGACATCCACAGCTTGTGGCTGCCATACTGGCACAAGGGAGAATATTTGTGAGAGTGCATTCGACGCGGCCGATCTTGTGTCATGGCTCTTTGAATGCAAATAAGGTAAGATCTGAGCAGACGAGAGTCAGCATGAAGAAGCATAGTGTGGAGCACGCTATACGAACTCGAGCCACGACGGCCATTAACTCAGACCATGCTGAGGAGTCACCGAGAGGGACATGGTGACGAGTTGACTTAATATCATCTTGAACTGCAACATCACTGATTACACTTTTGGCTGCTAGTTGGGCAAGTTGTTTGGCTGCTGTATTCCTCACGGAGGATGAAGATCCTGTATCAAGAAGAAGAAGGAGCCTGTCCAACCTGGAAGAAGCGATTGATTATTCGCATGCAATAAGTATAACACTGCGGACGAACGGCGTACCTCGAAGTCATATCCGAAAAAGGAATGCGGTCAACGCCGTTCGGCGCGGGCCGGATGCAATGGATTACTTTGAGAGGAAATGATCGTCTGGGGAATTTTCTCACGGCCGCACCTTCCCCGTCGTCCTTTTTATCTTCAGCCACGCGTGACGGAAAATGCATTCTGTCACGTAAATGTTCGCGTGTTTGTGACACTTCGATGCCTTTCACACGTGGAGTTCGCAGAGCAAAGCGCGTAGCCATCATTTAGACGCGCATCCTCGACTCTGAGCTCTGTCTGCTCATGAGCCTTGAATTTTTTGACCAACTCCTGGCAGAGTTGAGTGACGAAAGTCACCCGTGCACAGTTGGTACGTTTCATTTTTCGGAAGAAGTCGAAAATTACCAATTTTTTCCGATCACAAAGATTTACGGCGATGCGGCTCGGCTTACCTCGAGTTTCACGCTGCGGCTTGTTCACTGCGTGACAACGTCGACTCATCTACATCAATGAAACCTTTCATCGATAGGGCGTATCGAGAAATGTCCTCCTTACCGCCATCCCAGTCCCTTTGTTGGCGAAGGCTATACACAGACGCCAGCCTCTTCTGCGCTATATCAGAAGTTTCTGATTCGGCACAGGATGATGATGCAGCAGCGACAGAAGCTGTTGCTGCCTTGGATCGTGCTATCATTATAGCAGGCGCCCCTGGCAGATTGGACGCTATCAATCAACTCATCAAAGATATCCAAGACAATCATCTAATGCTGAAACCACTAAAGTCCTCTTCTAGTCACAAACACCCTCTGACGCAGATGTACCACTCCAGCGCCTTTTTTCTTAGTGTTCCCTATATTCACCCCCCACCAAATGTATTCGGGAGGGAGTGGTCACAAAAGCCATTTGTGCTACAACGTCATGGTTACGTACAAGGCTGGAAGGCCCTAAGTTCGTGGGCGTCTATCGACTATCTCCGTTCCGTGGCGGGCCCTGGTCGTCTTGTGCCTGTCGAAGTTGGGAAAGACTACAGGACTGAGGAATGGACCCAAAGGCTGATGACCTGGGACTCTTTTCTAGAGTCCCTCGACTTTCCTGAACACCCAGCTCAACCCCAGAATGAGGTGTTATACCTTGCACAGCATAATCTCTTGATGCAATTTCCGACACTTGAAGGGGACATTGGTATTCCCGAATACGTTTATGCGTGTCCTGATCCACCATCTTGTTATCCTGCATACAAACCTCCGGGAAATGCGGATGGTCTTGTCATCAATGTATGGCTCGGCCCAAGGGGTACTATTTCCCCGGCCCATACTGTGAGTCCCTCGAAGATAAGATGCCCTGTCGATGCACAAGTCTACTTATACTATCTGATAGGACCCCTTCTTTAATTGCTATGGTGAATGACTTCTTCGGGCGCTATTTTACTTGTATATTAAATCTTCTCGCGCTAGCCCAAGTGGTCGGTCGCAAGACCGTCTGGCTCGCACCGCCTGATGTTTCCGATCTGATGTATTCATTCGACACATCGACATCTGACACTGCTGATAAATCTCACAATCCGGCGGCCAACGCTACGGAGCCATCGATGTGCAACACATCTCGAGTGGATGTGTTTCCTGATTCCGCGGAGGCAGAGCAAGCATCGCGAGATGCTTTTCCCAGATTTTGGAAAGAGGTGCCGCAGAAAGCTATGTGCGTGACCTTGGCCCCCGGTGATGTGCTATTTTTTCCGCCTGGATGGTGGCATGCGATGCGGAGTGAAGAGACCAGTTTCTCTGTTTCGATGTGGTTTTAGTTGGGGTTTTAGGCAGACTTTAGTGTACGTTGATGGTGACTACGAGCAATGCGAAATTCGGAAAATGAGATTTGTGGTTTGTCCGCTGTGGAAGCGTCGGATAGACCGCGTGAAGTGTACAGCATTTATTGGGCCGGATGGTACCGACAAACTGCCTGGTTCAGAATAATCATTGTTGGGAACAATATTATTTGTTCGACGCCCTAGAAAGCCCAGCTGGTCGTCGACACTCTTGCTTTATTCTCTAAATGTCAGTCTCGGGCGCTGACCGTGCTGCTGGGCGCACGTCTCCTTTCCCGAGTACTAGCAGACATGGCGCTTTATCTCCTTTGCTCTCTGCTTCACTAACGGAAGAACACATCGCGGAGGCACTTCGACAGTCATCCGACAATGGCGCTACCCTTGATCTTACACACAGGAACCTGACAGATGTCGGTGAGGATGGTGCAGAACACCTGGCAACCATGGGCAGGAACGGCTCCCTCGATGACGAGAGTTCAGTACTCAGGTACGTTGCTGCGACGCGTTGTTGCCGCAACTTCATAATACCAACTGCTTTAGGATCGCCTTGGGATACAATCGCCTTGCTACGCTCCCTACTGCATTTGCCCTGCTATCTCGCTTGAGATACTTGAATTTGCAGAACAACAGTTTCACCTCTTTCCCCGATGTGGTGGGTAGCCCTGAAGTTCACGCGTTATACGTTTGCTGAACGTGACACAGTTGACGGTCATGCCGTCCCTAGAGATTCTGGACATAAGTCGAAACAAAATTAAAAGACTACCGAGCCAATCAGGCTCCCTGATCAACCTGAGGGTACGTTCCCTAGCCCCATTCTTCCTGATAGCGTCAAACGTGCTCTCGTCAGGTTTTCTGCCTGTCACGCAACAAAATAACTCGCATCCCAGGGTACTTTGCAGACTTTCGTGAACTCGATGTCTTGAAGGTAGACCACAATCCCATAGAGTGGCCGCCGAAGTATGTTATGGAAACACCAGATGGAGGAAAGGAGTGGATAACATTCGTGCAGAAGTGGATGAAGAACAACTCTCGGCCTCCCTTGGACGTGAAACAGCCCAGTGTCGATTCGTTCTTGAGCGCGAATGCTGCGTTGGACAACTCTATGTAGGGATTGAGTCTTTGTCATACCTGAATGCCGACTGACGTACCTACAGCGAAGACCAGATACAGTCCTGGTCTCGTATACAGGAGGAGTCAGACCCAGGTGTTACCCCCCATGCTCGCTCCTTCTCTATCGACTCCCCCTTTCCCCCCCTTCCAGGACCTGTAAAGCCAACATCGCCGCGTTTCGACCGCCCGCCGCCTCTACGCCTGGGGATGCTTCCTCCGTTCAAAGTGCCACCTCGATCAATGACTGTCGGGAGCTACCTGCCTACTCCTGCCGAGTCAGTATCTTCTACAGACGATGACAGTACAGCCGTGTCAGATGGTCCACAGCATGGCCGTAATGCATCTTTTGCCGGTTCAGCTCGTGATCGGCGTCCAGCACTGTTTGGAAAGAAGAGTCTGCCCGACCTCCGTGCAGCCAACGTGAGTGATGGTGTCGACAAGCAGGCTATCAGGGGGGCAAACAAAGGAGTGGTCTCACCTGATCCACAGTCGCAGTACGAGTTTTCCATGCCCTCGCCTCTCTCACACCGTCAAGACTCATCATCATCTTCTGACGGTTCTTCGCATTTCCAAAGCCGTAAGGCCTACACTCAAACACCTCCTACATCTGCATCTCCAACCTCCGGCGATCCTCCGCGGCCAGTTCCCGAAGTCGAACGACATGCATACTTCAAACGTCTCTCTGCGCTTCCCACCAATGCCATGATTAACAATCTATCATCCTCCCTACGCTCCCTTGTGGAATGCGCACGGTCGCTGTTTTTCTCTGTTTCGCAGGTGTATCAGGCACTTTCACATTACATCACTTACACCAACGACCGGCAACTCTCATCTGTACTGAAGAAAGTCACTGACCCAGCGTATACTTACATGATGCAGTTGAACGGTGCCCTCGATCGGTTTGATGCCATTTGCAAGAAAACGACACCCCCTCCTTCACTCTGCCGAGCGCTTGTGGAAAGCAGTAGAGACACCGCGGCCATGTTTGGCAAAGCTATTGCGATGATGTCACTGCAGTTGAATATCCTCGCATCCAAAGATGATGACCGCTATATGCGGTCATTGGTGCTCATCTTTTACGGTGCCATGGCCGAGATATCGAGTGCGTGGCAGTCAATGGTCCCACACATTGAAGCCATCAAACCTCATCTTTCGGATCGCCGGCGACCTCATGTAGTGAAGTCCCAACCAGTCCTGACTTCCAGTCCTGAGCTTCCTGCCTCAGCACCTCCGTCATACTCCCCATTCAATGCCCCACAGCATGGTGTTCCAATCGCCAGATCACGGCCCACACAATCCCTTGGTAGAGCAAGAACCACACGGCGTCATGCTGGGTCATTCAGCTCGAAAGACGTGGAGATTGGTAAATCCTTGCCATCATATGACTTGCCAATGCCACCTGGCACAATTCTATACTCCCCGTCGGCGACACTTCGTGCGGGACAACGTCATCCGGCGCTCCCGTTTTCAGCATCGACATCGAGCCTGGCTCCCTCGTTGATGAATTCCAGCATGCCTTGGACGTCATTGCTGTCTGGGCAGCACTCCCGACAAGCCTCCCAAACATCATTGACGCCATCAGCTGCGCCTTCATCGCCTCATGTGCCTGCCCGACGCCCAACACTCGACATACCTCCTTCACGGACGCTCGTCGACAAGGATGCCCTCGACGCCATGGAAGTGGCAGTGGAGGCAGCACCTGCAGTATGGGAGATGCTGAAAGAGATCGTGGACAATTTGTCTGAAGGAGCTGAAGAATTCCGCAACACGCTGCTCAAAGCTAAATCCACCACAGAGCGCCTACGTACTAATATAAACGCTATGCGGTGCGGAGACCCAGGGGCTGACAGAAAAGGGCTCCGCGAGGACGCACACGTGTTCGTCAAGGTGACTCATCGCTCTGTTTGTCTTGTCTTGGCCTTATTCCTGTGGTGATCCACTTGTCTTTTCAATCCCCTTGAGGCTTGTGGCGATCTGTGATGCTGACTACCGGGACTTCTTTCTACAGATTGTGGTCAAATTATCAAATCTAGTCAAAACGCACGGCACTTCCCATGCCGTGTTCTCAGATCTTTTAGGCAAGATGTTGGCGTTGACAAATGCCACGCAAGAGTTTGTGATGCTCCTGCACGTCTCATCGTTCTCGCCATCAACAACGCCACGACCATATTCTCCTATGACTGCTATATTGGCGCCGTCCGCAGTCGGGCTGATAGCTGAGGACGGGCGGCTTGGTGCAAATTTATCTAGAAGCCGCAGTTCCACACAGCCGAAGACATTGAAACTGTTTGGTCACATAACAGCCCCTCGGAGCGCTCTTCCAAATCAGTCCTTCATTATACCCCGTATGCGGGACACGAGTGATGAAGGCTGAGCCCTGGTGGCTTTGTAGAGCTCATTAATTGTTATGTCCACGACTCATCCTCACGACGCATGACGCATTCCTGCAGTTATTGTAGCATCATCATACCAATATCTCACATTACATATTCGACTAGTACTGTCTCTTGCTTTCAAATTTTCCATGCCTATATTATGCTGGATCCTACATGAGGTGATGTGTATATGAAATAAGAAGGTCCCAAAGCATAAAGATCTATTAGAGCGATAAAATGAGGATGCGGATGTGATGGTAGATTCAAAGATATTATCGTGTTTTGCATGCATGGACAAGTCGTCGTCAACCAGTTATAATCACCCCATGTCAACCAGCTATAATCACCCCATGCGCATCGTCTCATCGTGCACCACCACCTAACATACGATCGATCTCAGCTCTGATTTCGGCGAGGTTCGCCTTGAGTGTCTTCGCGTCTTCGAACTTGCGTTGTGCCATCGCCTCACCGACAAAGGATTCGAGCAGAGCCTCTTGTTCCAGAAGCGGCTGTAGTGTATGGGCAAGGTCCGAATCAGGATCCACAAGCGGTGTCTCGAAAGGCGCAGGCGACGAATTTGAATCACGCTTCTTAGGCTTGGGCAGAGACTGCGCATCACGCTAGTCAGTTCAGAGTATGGAAGGAAACATGTTTCACACACTTGTAATGGGAACATGTGTTTTTGCAGAAATAGATTCGCCCTGCTGAGCACTGCAAGCTGTACGTGGTTCTGCGAAGACCCTGTAATGCAAGGCATGGCACGTATCCGTTTGGCCAAAGCGTCGTATTGGGCAAACGCATCGAGGAGGCGTTTCCGTGCTGCGGACGCTTCTTTAGTAGGCTGGTCATCATTGCTAGATGCATGGGCGGTTTTATTAATCTGTGCAGAATCAACGTAACGGGGCAGAGCCCAGTCAGTACGTACCTGAGCGTAAGAAGGAGGTCCTGAAACTGCGGAATGGCATCCTCGATCTCTTTCTCGAGGCTAATAAACGCCTATCCCTGAATCAGTATCACGCAAGCGCATAGCTCAAGTAACCGACTTACATCATAAAACCTTACAAACGGCGGCACGCTTGCCATCTCCTGCCAGTACTGCTGGCGCGTGAGCACAGGTCTGCAGCCGCGGCATATCCTGACGCCGCGGAGGAATTTCTCCTCCTCGCCAGCGCCCGCACGACGTACACCGTAATCGACGCCCTCCCCGACTTCCTCGATGCGCCGCGTTTTGGCATCGACGACGAAGAGCACTGAACAGGGGCTCTGGCGCTGCGGGAGCTTTTGGGGGAGGCTGCAGATGATAGTCCCACAAAGGCGGCAGTGGTGTTTACGGTTCGTGAGTGGGTGAAAGGAAGCGCTGGAGGAATGTAAGTGAGATCCTTATGTTCGAAGGGTGGAACATAGATGTAGAAATGAGGACGTACATGCATAGAGGACATTTAGATACGGCGGCATCGTCCTGCCAAGGTGTTATCCGCTGCTCTGCAGCTGAAACAGACATTGTACTGGTCAATACCCAATCAAACGAGATGAACGGTGTCATATATACCTCGAGTATCACCATTGGATCCCTGTATCATTTGGGATTGCAATACCCCTTTCCACAGTTCACCTGCATCCACGTTCTTAAGATCAAGATTAAAAAACGACGAGGCCCTCCTCTTCTCCATCCCTCTTCCCTTTCCATTAACACTGACGGCATCTTTCCTCGCACCCACGCCCTTCTCAGCAGAATTCTCCACAGGAAAATGAAGAGCGATGAGCTTTTCGAGTCTCCGCTCAAGCTTCGTCCTTTCAATGCGCCCCTCGTCAGCACGTTTCCTCCGATATTCAGCAAATTCATCTGTACGAGGCCGGTACACACCCTTGGGCTGAAAGCCTGGACGGTAGGGCGCCGTAGATCGTGCAGGGGTGGATGCACGTGTATGTGCAGAGGAAGATGCAGGTGCAGATGAGGTGGAGGGGAGGGATGGAGTTGACGCTGTTGGAGAAGCCGATGCCGAGGCGGGTGTTGATACTGGGGCTGATGTAGAAGTTACCGGTAGGGATGCCGGTGTGGGTGTGGGCGAGTAGAGTTTAGGTGGTGGGAGGGGCGGGACCATCGAAGATGAGCGCGGGGGTGGGTTGATGAGGTTATGAGGAAAGGGGGTGGTCTCTCTTCGGAGCAAGACTGGCGGAGGTAGTTTACTGCTATCTGATATCACTGATGTAACTGAGGTGACACGGCTATGCATCACAGGTGAATGCGGTGCATCGAGTTGACGGCTGGATGTCGATGGTGCGGGGGAGTGCGTGACGGGTGGGCGGAGAGGCGAAGCAAGCGGGGATTTTGCAGCGGGCGGACGGAGGCGCCTGAACTTGGATGGTTTCGGGGAAGTGGGAGGCAGTTTCGTTATGGACGGCGCAGGAGATGAAGATGGTAATTCTATTTCTTTGTCTTTCCCGTTTGTACGTGGAACTGGCTCCTCATCGGGCACGGACGCCTGCACAGGATCTGGCAACGCAACATCGATGCTTGCCGGGGAAGGCAACTCGGTACTAGTTGACGAGTCATTAGTGGTCGGTGATGAAGGAAGGTCCTTCGAATGTACGATATCGACGCTGGGTGCTCGAGTCTTGTCTGTTACGACAGTAACGACACTTGGATACTCCGTGGAGACTGTCAGGACCTTCTCGGACTCATAGTATTCGTGTGGACGATTGAACGTGGGAGCTGGGATGGACGGCACGGTAGATATGATGCTCGATGGGCGTGATAGCGGCGGCGGGGAGACATTTGGAACCAGATGAATAGAGGAGATTGCCCGGGAATGTCGTTTCGACTTTTGACATTTGAATCAGAATAAATGAGAATTTAAGATGATAAACGCACTTTGTAGGCCTGGTACGGGACATTAGGCGGTGAATCCATAGCTCAGCTGAGCAATTGGATATACAAAACGTCTGCAAAGTGAAGAGTGAGCAAGTCGGTAGACACGCCGTACGTCCGAGTTGCGTGAACAGAGTAGGATGCACAAGAAAACCCAAAGTCCCCCCGTCGGAATGACGACGAACAAAATCAAAATCGTGAGCCCGTTAGGGCACTGGTTGGTGTTCCAGCGTGAGCGCCCTCTCACCGGCGTCCTCTACAGCAACCGCAGGCGCCTCACCGCAGCGTCACCTCTTTCATTAAGGGCATTACATAATCGGGACCTAGCAGATAACAGAGCTAATCGATATCAATTGCAGTGAGTAGTACAATACACCAGTTCTATTACCCATTATCAGCAAGGCTAGTACTACATGCAATCAATCAAACAATACATCAATTAAAAGCGATAGGATACATCTCATAATCATAGCCTCAAGCCAGGAACATACCAGTTACCACACCCACAAGGCCAACCAAGACGCCAGCGCCATGATCGCTCATCTTCACCACACCACCTGACTTTGTCTGTGTAGCTTGTGCTCCCGTACTCGTGCTCGTGGTCAAGGTCCCGTTGAGCTGAATTGCTTTCGCCTTGAATGCGGCATAGTTGTTGGATCCAGACTCGACCGCATTCACGGAGAACACCATGCCTTGCCCACAGTGCCCAGATTGTTTACAATAAACCCAAACTGGTGCAGTCTAGGGCACTCGATGTCAGTACAACAAGTCATGGGATGTCAAGTTCCTTACATCATTAATTTTGACCGTATAGGTAGGAAATGTCGTCGCATTAGATCCAACAGCCATGCTAACAGCGCTGTCAGTCTCACACATCGCTTAACCAACATCAAAGACACTTACTACCCAGAATCAAACCCAACTTGCCCACTCGTAGACGTGAGAGTAAGAGCGCGACACGGATCAGCAAACGTGCTCTGCGTCACTGTGTGATTCTTCTGCATGAATTGGAACGTTACTGTGTCTCCAACTTGTGCAGTAATATTTGACGGTGTATAGATGAGGCTAGACCCGCCAACAACAACTTTATGGTCCGTGCTTGTAGCTGTGACGACTCCAGTGGGAGCAGTCGAAGTCGCAGTCGCAGGTGTTGAAGCAGACGAGGATGAGGCCACGGTATTACCCATGGCAGCTGCTTGAAATGCAGCAAACTGAGTGCCTGGGTTGACGGCAAAGACCATGCCCTGCTGGCAGTGATTGCCTTGTTTGCAATATACCCAAACTGGGTTCATATCCTGCACCGTATATTGTGCTGCAGGGAACGGACCATTCGTGTTGCTGGCAGATACTGGCATGCTATTGTACGCCAAAATATGTCAGTCTAAAATGTAAATTTGTATAACGGCGCGTTTGTGCTCACTAGCCAGAGTCGAATCCATTAGACGCTTTTACACATGGCTGGGCTAGAGTAGATTGGGAAGCCGTATGGTTGGCTTGTTTAAAAGTGAAGATGATGGTATCTCCAGGGTTCGCAGTCTTCACGTCAATGAGCAATGTAAACAGCCAGTTTGACTGCAAACACGTACAACGAACTGCGGGTCATATCTTAATGGTCCTCCACCAACAGTAACATTAAACTGGGCAGCCTGTGCCAGTGACAGTGCACCCAGTGCCAAGAATAAGCTCGAGAACATCATGGTCGGTCAAGTTCAAATGTGCCACAGAAATAGGCGTCAAGCCTAGAAGTTGGTCAGAAGGTCAAAGGTCAAGACAGAAGTTAAGGAAACAACAATACGAATAGCTGCAGCGCCCTTTATGTGCGCCATTTGTGCCAAGTCACCGTCCACAAAAAAACAAAAGACGAAGAGAAATTGAAGTATCAAAACCCGTTATGGAAGGTGAACAATGATCACCATGCAACCGATCATGGCAAGACAGTCAGTAAAAGCCGGAGCACCGTGCTCGTCAAGCATCCAAAATAGGTATAAGGACTCCGTGCACCGGTATGCAGGAATTCTACCTCCTGTTCCGTCTCGTCACAGTGGAGGAATCAACTGCGAGTATTCTCAAAATGCGAATGAAAACACGTCAGAGATACCCGTTATTCAAAATCTATGTGATTATACTATCTCTAGCGTTCTGATATGGCGCTGGATCTGTTCAACTATTTTTTCAATTGTATGAGGATAAACGATAAACGATTTTCATTGGCTAACTACGACGATTTGAACGCTGATTATATAATAGAATCCATACAAGCATACGAAGAAACAGGTCACTGTACAAGTCCAATAAATATCCGCGACGTATACCAAGAAACAGGTCAGTGTACAAGTCCAATAAATATCCGCGACATACACCAATATATTTGCAGCAAAGTTGCATGCATTGCGGGTCCATGTCAAGAAAAACGAACAGCGTCCCTCCGCAAATAAAAATAAAGAGAAATCGAGCGCAAGAGTCTTTCACAAAACTCATACACCACTGGCACCTTGAGCAAAAAAATCCGACAGGAATAATCCCCACCTCCTTATCACAGGTTTGACAATATCTTCCCATTCTCTCTCAAAGAATTCTCCTTCCTTGACGCGCGTGAACGAGAATATTTCCTTGTGTTTGATCCCACCTGTAAATTGGCGAGCTTTAGCACCTGCCACACAGTCGCTCCGTGAGCATGACTTACAGTCACGGCAGGGTTTAGGAACAGCTTTTGGCAGACGTGGGATATCCGAAAATTGGACGTCAGGAAAATTGGGATGGAGATAAGGAGCATGTGTTGCCAGATCACCGAGCTCAATATGCACCAACCGTTCGAGTTGTTTAGCCATCGGACCCTTGTCGCCCTGTTGATTATTTCCAATGAGCTTCTGGATAGAGATGTCGTCATCGTCTTTCTTTTCGATTATGGTCTCAGGCCACCACCCGCGAACATCTTTTATAACTGATGGACATTGCAGTTGCCACGATGCGTGGCGTTTCTTGACATCACAGCTGTATCCAACCTTCAATGAGAGCTTTCCCTCAATCCCGAGGTCTTTGTGAGGGCTTAGCTTGCAGGCCAACATTTGTATGATGAGTCACTAAATACCTACCAGACACGTTCAGCGCATATACATGGCCTGGTTCCCTGACCGTTTTTGTGAGATTTCTTGTGATAGCTGTTCGAAGTTCTCGCTGAGTTTCCTCTTGCAGGTATTTAGGTATATGATCTATCGAACATTCAAAAAGGTCCAACGAAATCGGCAACCAACACCTTACCACAAAAGAGGACAGATTTCTCTTCCTGCCCAACTGGCTGAACTTTGAACCCATCCTCATCAGCATATGTCACAATCTTAACGTGTGTCGCAATCCCTTCTGAAGTCGGAATATGGGAACCACAATATATTGGCTGGGAAGGATCCTTGGTGAGTGATCCGGGGGTAATCGGGACCCGCCTTCGACATCGACGTCCTGTCGACTTGGCTGTGGCACTACATTGCACCGTTGTCCGAACGGTGGGGTCAGCAGGGGTGGTGGTGGTGGTGGTGGTGGTGGTCGGGTCAGCAGGGGTGGTGATAGTGGTCGGGCCAGCAGGGGTGGTGATAGTGGCGGCGTCAGTAGGGGTGGTGATAGTGGTCGGGTCAGCAGGGGCAGGTTTAGCAAGGGTAGTGGGGTTAGCAGGGGTGGTGGGTTTAGCAGGGGTGTTATCACTTTGTAATCGATGCTGGCGACAGTGTTGAGCCGGAGGTTTGACTGAATTTTTGCATCTAGAGTGAGGCGTTGTGAGCCTGCGACATTGCAAATCCACACCTGTCGTTGGCTTCGCAGTGGTATCCTCGGATTGACGGCGTTGTGGATCCTTCACATTTGCTGGTGGAATAGAAGGAGTGCCCTGGGCAACATGGTATTTGCAATAACGCTCAGAGGCATTGACCATTATGTAGCACTGGCGTGCCCCCCCTGTGATAATGCCATTGCATTGTATCTTAACTTTCGATTTTCTGGCATACTGAATGTCTTCCGTGTGATGTCCAGAGCTTGTCGTGGAAATTGAAATCAAGAATTTCTGAAGGCTGAAAAATAACGCTCACATTTCCGAGAACTCCACCACAGCCGATGTAGTTTCTAGAGAGAGGGTCGACTCCGACTTGTCTGCTGTCTCCTCCTTATGACGGACAGGTACGAATCTGGGTTTACTAAGGCGTGGAGGAGTATTGTCGGGCGTCAAAAGCCCTGCTGGAGGGAGGGAAGGAATGATAGTTGACTGATTGTTAGACCGTTCAGATGGGTTTCCTGGACATGGCAGGGGCTTCGTGTCCTTCGGGACGTTTGGACGTTGGACAGGGGTGGAAGGTGGAGAGGTGAAACGAGGTTCAAAGGAGTTGGGTTGTGGCCGAGAGTCTGGGGTCGCGAGAGGCGTTAGCAGCCCGAGTACTTGACTCTTGCGGGGCGGTGTCGAAGGAATACTTGCAGCCAACGGCGTCACACTAGCGGTCTTTGGAATAACGACCACATCGTAATCGTCGTCCTCTCGTGGCCGAGAGTCTGGTGTCGCGAGAGGCGTTAGCAGCCCGAGTACTTGATTCTTGCGGGGCGGTGTCGAAGGAATACTTACAGCCAACGGCGTCACACTAGCGGTCTTTGGAACAACGACCACATCATCGTGATCGTCGTCCTCTCGGGCACTAGTCCGGGAGCGTCCCTGGAGGCGACTTGTAGCCATGGCAGGATGGAGGGGTAAGAACAGGAATAAGAGGTGTAGTGTAGCCACAGACTGTCGTCCATAATAAATAAAACCCGATGCCCCTTCCCGCGTCCAATCGGATATTGGAACGAGGAAGATCATATGATGACAGATATCGTAGCAGTGCTGACAGTGATGGCAGTGATGGCACGCCCGTCTGATCCTGTGCCTATATCGTAAATCCCCCGCACAGGACAAAGTTGTCAGGTTTGGAGAAGCTATGAAAACGGCAGGCAAATCAGAAAATCGTGATACTGAAATAACAAAAACCGTACGTTTACTCGTGTTATCCGGACTTCTGATAGACAAATACCACATGTCTGTTTCTCGTGATCCACATATTCAAGCCGGCCTGCCCACTGTCAAGGTCAATATATCACTCGCCTCGAACATGCAGAGGAGAGAGCAATGTCGATGTTCTCACTCGCAAGTTGCATCATTGAACAATAGTAGTCAAGAGTCTACAAAACAGTACGTCAGGCACTTCCTAAACGCACAAAACAATAGGTCATCTATGTAGAAGTTTAACAGACAGTTGTGTGAGCGAGACTCAAACCTAGAATTGGATCGTAACAAGGGGAAGGTCAGACTAAGCTGCACATCACAACGCTCCTGCGCCAGATCAAGGTCCGAACAGGAGTCTGACAGTCCTGGAGGAAACAAGTCCCTATAGATAGCAACTAGATAGAGCGCCGCACAAAGGACGCCATCAGGCAGCTTTCACACATAATACAAGGAACGTACGCACAGAGGCTAAGCAAAATCAGCCTTAGGCCTACCACACAAATGGCCACGGAAAGGCCTGCTACCGTAACGCACTTGTGTTCAACACTACACTACAGTCCTAATGACGACGGTCAGCTTGCACTTTATATTGCCTCAATAAAACTTTATCTACCTATCACATCATGCTTGTCAACCACAGGTCCCCGTCGTAAGTGATGCCATTAGGACGGCATTATCCGCTGTAAGCGTATCGCACATGTGAATATTGATGTGATGCAAGAGCATTTGACTCGGGGGCGGAGGCAGAGCTTACGGTAATGTTCATTTTTGTCGGAGTCATGTGACAAGCCGCAGTGTGTCCACCGTGTGTCCTCCGAGAGTCCGCACAACGCACTGCTAAAATATATGAGCTGAATACAGCAAAGGGATTACAAAGTAGACGGAAACATACCAGTCATCAAGCACAGTCGAAAAGGGCCTCTCAAGATCATTGACATGGTTCACCGTTCACGAAGATCTCTATCTCACCAATCTCATCGTCCGAAGGCATGTGCACATTCCAAACCCGACAAATAAACCAACTGACGTTCTCTCTATGAGCATCTTCGAGGACTCCGCTGAGTAAGACCAACTTCATATTTTTACCCCCCTTCTTTTGGAGTATTTCGCTATGAACCGCGATGATTGATGTGACTCGGACGTCCAGAAAAAAACGTAGCGGGCTCTGGCTGCAATGCACGTGGCCTTATCATCAGAGAATTCATGAGACCGTGATATGGTAGCCGTGAGAAATATAGTGTGAAATAATTTTGCTACCGCTGAACATACCTATGTATACGGCAAGAAATATTAGTGATCAGTACATAGCCATAGATGTCTGAGAATTGATTTTACCATCAGGAGTTCGCGACAAGACAACGACATTGCGCCGTTGCAGCGATCAACGTGCAATAGCATCGTTTTGTCATACTTGTTGACTCATACCATATCCCTTTATTTATGTTTTAAACTACCAAGTGATATAAGACTTTATCGTGGAAAGGGCAATTAGCACTTGTAACCTATTGCAGATTCCTATGAGAATTTCCAACAAAGTCATGTGTTTGCGCCATCGCGGCCGGCAAGGTATGATGGTGTACTTAGGTACCACTCGCTGAGTCATCTCATATTACCTCATTTATGTTGAATTTGCAAGGCTATATTGTGGGGTTCAAATATTGCTTCGATTACAATATCTACATAGATTATTGCAATTGTGATGCTCCACCATATAATTCTTTAAATACCATTATCATCTGTTCGCGGTCGTATCCGCAATCTACACCAGATTGGTCAAACACCGCCAGGCAAGTAACGTTATTGTCGACGTGGCGAGAAGTGTCAGGAGATGGCAAAGCGTTCATGACGAGTGCCGGGCGAGTACATGCTCGCTAAACGGCTCTTTTGAAACGGCAAGGTGAAACATAAATAATAGCAGAGTCAGCTATCAATTATTGAGAGACAGGAGTGAAGAGCACGATCATTCGGATGGAGATTCAAAGTTGTGCTACAGATAAATGTCGCGGAGATAGAATACGTTTTGATAGATGGGAGTCCATTTGCGTTCGACTTATTTATGACTTATTTACATTTATTTACCTGTCGAGTTGTGTTGCCAAGACGGAAAAGAAGCGCGTGTCAAACAAGCGCGATAAAGTGTGTTACAAGACAAAAACATAGCCGACAAGCAAAAAAGCAAAGTAAGTACTAAAAATACATTAAGTGTTTAATTGATTGACGAGGCGTTAGTACTACTACAGAATTCATGGCTTCAAAAACGCCAGTGCATTGCGAACGAGGGAGGAAGTGGTGGACAGATATAGAGATGAGGGCCGATCTAGCGATAAGGGCCGCGGTGGATGCAGAGGAGGCGGAGGCGAATGAGGAAGGGACAGAGGCGTCACTGGGCTTCTGGGGGAGGGTGAAGGGGTGGCTCTGGGACAAGGATCGACACGTAGCGTGACTGCAGACTTTGGTGAGTACTGCGATGTCTTGTGATCAACGAAAACTTACCGATCGTCGTCATCGTCTTCGTCCCCGACCCGTAATCGTCATCATCATCATCATCTTCGTCCCCAATCCATAGTAATTGTCGTCGTCGTCGTCGTCTTCGTCCCCGACCCGTAAACACAGCAAGGGCATATCAATCAAGAAGCGGCGGTTGAGTCAGGACTTTTTTTTTCATGTTTCCTTGACGAGCGCTTGACACGGAGATCGGGGATGTTGACTGAGCTGTAACCTGTACCAGAGACTGTTAGTGTGTTAGCATAGTTCCACGCAGCGTGTGTGATAAATATGAATGGGGAAATGAGGGATGTGAAAGTACCTGCTTCGTGCGTTCTGGATCCCAGCCACCAGCACCTCTGCCGAAGATATCAACAAAGAAACTGGCGATATTCTGACAAGACGCCAAAACTAACGTTGAAACGACAAGTGCACCCGTCGATAAGACCACTCAGTATTTCCGCCGGTACTTCGACGCGGACGAATCAGAGTTTGCACCTTGCGAGCTGTTTAGTCGACCATCCAAAACCCATATCAGAAAACATACCTATGAGAGGTTGTGCAATAAGGCCGCTGATAGGACAAGCCAACCGGACCAGGCTGGTAACCTGTTCTGATATCCCCAGTGACAAGAGAAATGGAGCTCCGTAGTAGCGTATTAAATTTTGGCGGACCAGTAGCGTAAAGAACTTACCTGGTAAGTGCAAACCTGGGCAGTGAGCATGTATATCGACAACACAGGTAGTTCCCAGTCAGAGGCGACGACATATGTACTGAATCCAGGCCCAAACATCCAGTCTGTTATGGTCGATGATGGTATTCAATAACACCGATGACAAATACAAAATATGAAAGACTCACGCAGAAAACTGCCCCTGGACAACTCCCATGTTGACGAAGATCAAAACAGTGCAGCGGTCAAGTCAAAAGGCGAGGAGTTCCACGTGAAGACAAGAGGTGATATTAGAAAGCGCAAAATGGATCTGCAAAATAAATTTTCAACCATACGGTTAGAAGTAAGTGTTGATCATTACTTGACAAGTTGCATACGCGATCGCACGAGGAGTCACATTCCTCATACCTATGATAGAAGCCACACAAGTTTTCACTTTGGCTTGGTCTGATCGTCTTGGGGAGCGTCAGTTGTCCTCGATGATATTGGCACCATCGCCGTCGCCATCCACTTCGTTGGCAGGGGATGGAGATGCAGAGATAGCCTTGAACCCCACAATGAAGGTAGTGTAGTTGTACCGTCACAAATACCAGCTCTGACGCTGGACTCGGGATATCAGTGACATGCGAGCGACGAAGACCATCACTTACACTGAGACTGCCCACCGCCATCCCGCTGGGAAGTGAAGTTTACCGCATGCATCGTTCGCACAACCCCGATGGTGCTTGTCATCCACCTGATGAGAAGAGTCGGATTATACTCGATATTCACCCATGATGCCACGAGCTCTTTAAGAGTTTCCGTGTCGTCACCACGTGCTGAGTCCGCGCCATGCTTGAGCACTCAAATAAATACCGGAAAATTCGCCTTACTTGGTAGTCTGTCTCGAGCCCGTTTTGGTGATCCAGTGACAACCACTTCTGCTCTGGTAGTGCGTGTCCTGCTATACACAACCCGGCTCTTGAATCATTTTTGGGTTAGTCTGAAAATCGAAGTTGCGGCGAGGTTACAATAAGGCATCACTGGTTATAGCCTAAAGTAGTAGGTCACTTCGTTTCAAGACTTGGAGTGGACACTTACTCGCAATGACCGCTACGGTCTGTGGGTGGTAGACATTTAGTCATCTTATCCGTTAGATGTCCGTACTTGCCATTAGAGACGTACATGTGACATTGAAGTGGACTGTCTTGTAGTAAATATGGAGCGATTCGGATGATGGCTGGGTTCAACGCGGTCACAGTGCTGCCAAGGTCAGCTCCATCGACCTCAAAGGACATCAGTGTGTTGATTTAGAAATTTGAGCCAAAAGACTTACAGTAGTTTACCGTAGATGAATATGTTATTGTTCAACAGACCTTGAACATAATTTGTGCGGATGTCGATGTCCAACTTCTTTACCAGCACGGCCACGTCAAATTCGAGTCCGTACTACTGATACGTGAAAACTCGTGCCACAGCCAACATCTCCTCAGATACATCATTAATAACGGATCCCATCTTGTTGTCGATGTAGGCTTTGTCATTCATCGCCTGGATGGCCCATTCGTGGTCGGTTCCTGTTCCTTATCAGTCCACGGTATCTTACTGAGAACTTCGGAAAAACTTGCCGTCGAATGTGTTGGCCGCAATTTGCCATGCGATCATGCGGGCTTGGTAGCCAAATTAGCTCTGTGACCTTTTTCAATTGAATAGATCCAAGAAAAAATTCACAAGCACAGGTGCATGGAGCCAAATATGGACACATCCTGAGAGTGACCATGAAGGAGGTTGCAATGTGCGAAAACAAAAGGCAATTTGGTGATGCTCACTAGTGGTGCGGATGTGTATCGTTTGGTCTTAGTCTTTACAGAAATTGAGGATCATCATGGTAACAGGCCAGCGATTGTTCATTGCCTCCAGTCCAGCCTATCTGTGGTACATGATAACTGTTGCCCTGCGGCTAGTGGACTACGATTAATGAAAAGTTTCGACATAGTCACTTGACTCACCACCGTGACTGGCAGGCCTGCCAGTCCTGCCGCCGCATCGTGACTAGGATGAAGCGTAAACGAGCGATAAATTCGAGCTTGATCGGAGACCTGGATGTGCGAGTCAAGACCATCAAACCGCAACGAAGGACTTACAAACTCCACTGCAGATGGCGGATAAGCTTCAGGATACTGTCACGATGAGTTATGGCTGCGGATAAGCAGCAGATCTAGCACTGTTCAAAATAACATACACAAACAAACAAACAAACAAACAAGTATACACGTTATCTTGCCCAGGGGGTCACAGCAGGGGGCAGCAGAAGGCTTGCAAAACCTAATAGACGGCCTGCAAGTAAAACCCGTTTCATGTTTTACTTAAAAAGAAAGGTCGTCCAACACATCCTCGTCCTCATCCCCTCCTCCGTCATGCTCATCATCTCCCTCGTCTTCATCTTCTAGCTCTTCATCACTGGACTCATCCTCGTCATCCTCCTGTCCGTGATCCCCCCGTTCATCAGCCTCGCCATTAGTCGTATCTTCATCTACGACATCCATGGCATAGGCGGGCGCCACTATATCTCTAATCATCCTTCGCAGCATTACCGGATGCCCAACACCAAAGTGAGTGTATCGCATGAACATATCGCGGTCAACGAATCTGACTCAAAGAGATCAAAATGGGAAGGGATACGATAGAAGGGACACTATCCACACTCACATGCCAACATAGTGTTCGTTCCAGTCGTCTTTCTCCCCCCCAGGACGTGCGAGAGATCGTCCATAGCAAAGCGAGCCTGTACCACGTTCCGAGGCGAATGCAGGAATCAAGTGGGCTCCTCGAACCACTTGCCCCGGATCAAGAAACCCAAATGCGTCAGGGTCGGATTCATCTACAAATGCAACTTTTGGAAGTCGAGCAAATTTGATGCCCGATTTATGGTTTCGCAATGGTGCCAGCCACCTGACCAACAGAAACTCGAGGCGTTGCTTTACAGGTGGACTCCCGTTGTTGAGCCAAGTTTCCATGTGGTAAATACCCAATATGCGGGCATACCAGTATGGGTGGGTAGGTGTTGTCTCTCCTGAAACCACCATAACGTCAGCGTGTGTTCTAGGGTTGATAGTGTCGTGCTCGCGCCTGAGGTCGTATGTAGTGTAATATACCTGCATGGTTTGGACGGAGTAAACAATATTGTTAGGAATAACAACTGAGTTGTGCTCCTCGTCTGTGAATGTATGGTCGCAAAAACTGATATCTAGGTTCTGCAGCCGGTAAAGAACATGGTCCTTCAGTTTCGGCATGAAATTCTGTCAACCATTATGAGAAAAGTGTAAGGCGTGTCCGCTGCAATATCACTTGTACCTTTATGGCCGGATCACCATCATGCTCTTGAAGGAATTGGAATAAATTAATTGGGCTACTCTTATGAGTTGCGATATGGTGATGCATTCCGTCGAACGACGAAGGGGGGGCATCGGCAGGTGATTGATTATAGGATGACGATGTACTTCCTGCTTCTGCGACCCGTCGAAGTACGCGGCGCCTGCGCTCGTGCTTCGCTAGTTGCGCTGGGGTGTCCAGCTTGCTTGTCAGCGGATAAAACGCCTTGAGTGCTCGGTGGGCAAGCTCCCCCTATCCAAAGTTAACCTTTGTAGATAGTGAGTAAACTACATATACATACCATTTGAGTCGTGAAGGAATCTGTGGTCCCGAAAAGTCTTATCGTACTCACATAATCGGCCATCGCATGAAACTTGTATGTGTTCAGATTGAATTTCTTCGCCTTCGGTCCGCTCAATTCTGGAGATGTGGTGAGGGTCTCAGGCTGCCGAGCGAGCCTTCGTTGACGGGCAGCTTTCTCCTTTGGTAACTCCGTAGTATCGAATATATCGCACGTGTCACGTCGGAACCTCCGCAACTTCGAAGCGAGCTTACTGAAAGTCTCTTCAAGAAAAGTCAATGTTGATTCCGAGTGCATCCGGAGCTTAGCAAGCGCATGCCACTGTGCGAATCGATACAGCAAAGTCTGCACTGCTGCATCGTGGCTGGGGGGGAACAATCCTTCGAAAACTGGTATGGCGCACTAATGACGGAGAACATGTCAGCGAACTCAATTCAAAAAATTTGATGATGCGAAAAAAACCTGTAATATGTTTTCAAAGTCCCTCGCTGCTAATTTTTTCATCTCGGAAGTATTGTTCGTGAACATTCGAATCACACCATTGCCAAAGGTTGGAATCTGGCGAAATCTAAGGTGAGATTAAATCATGAGTAGGTAATAAAACTTTGTACGAAATATGCGTACCTGGTGTCGAGTTTTGAGACTATCTTGCTACCTCCAGTAAGGGTGTACAGAAGCCTGATAAGATGGGTAAATAATGCCTTCCAGGTACCCAATTCGATTTCATGCATGAAGTCGACAACAAGCATGCGGAACAGGTTGAGGCCGAACGGTCCAAGTTTCCGAACAAATTGATTCTGTGAGTGGCTGGTTTGTGCCAATCGCAAATTGGAAGGAGTCATTCGTGCTTACCAAGGTGGGTATCCATGAACCATCTCCAAGAGCGTCTTGGACCTTCGAACCATCTACAGTATTCCCCCTCTGATAGATATACTCGCGAGCTTCGACAACCTTTGACATAGCATACACACGGAGATTCGTTATGCGATTTTTCATGTCCTTGACAAGGCCAAGATAACCAAATAAATTTCTCGGAGTGAGACAGCGAGGACACGCGCATGAACCCATGTCCTTGATAGTCGCAATTAAAACCCTAAAATTTCATGAGTGATCTGATTATAACGAAGTCGAAGCAAAAATATACTACTTCTCAGGATAATCGGCGGAATATGTGAAGATACGGGGAAATACCCTCCGCAGCACCCCATCAGCACATTTCAAGACAATGCCGTGGCGATATGCATGAACGAAATCTTCATCGAGCAAGATTTCCCAACATGCCTGGAACAATTCTCTGCGACAGTGAGTATGAAGTGATGCCAAACCTGTTTTCGATATGCGAGACAGGCCGCTCAAAACGTCTTTGACACTGTCAGGAAGCTGAAAATGCGGTTGGCATCAACACCAGTTGACAGGCATCATGCAAAAACTTACAGAAGGCAAGAACCCCACTAGGTGGCATGCTCCCGATTGAGGCGATGATCGGACATACTTCGTCAGGTTTCCGAAAAAGAGGTAAAGTGGCCAAGCTTTCGCCGTTCCGAAGTTTGCCAGGTGAGTGGCATCCGAAAAGAACATGAGACTCGCTACAACTCGTTCCAAGGAACAACCAGGTTCCCTCGGCAACTTCTGAAGATCATCCTGGGCATCAAGCCATGCATCGGAGGTGTAAAGCTCGTCGTATATACGCTCTTGATGGTCGTCTAGAGCATCTTTCCATAGACGTTTGAAAGGTGATAGATGAAATGCGCTTGCTTGCATATCCGCGAATGCTGCACGGATTACTTCAAGTAGAGGGCGATAGTGGAAACTAGGAATGGTATATGGTATAGGGCCTTCCTCCATCGACTTCGTCGGAATGTCAATAGTGACGTTGGTCTCGACCCAGTCATCTGGGAAAGTGATTCTGTCACCGCCCTCATCCTTGTCTAACTCTCGCAGGCTCCTCTTCACCGAAAATCCCTCAAGATGCGTGACATCAAAATCATCAGCTTGTAAAACATCTTTGACGAGGCGCTGCATCTCAGCTTCCGATTTCCGGTGGCTACCTGTATTCATCCAGGACATGAGTCGATAAACGGACATGTTGGGAAAGGGGTAGGGTGGCGGGAAAATATTTGGCGGGGAATCTGTTCCTCGAACAGTTGTTGGACACGACTGTGCGAGTAAAGGGGATGGTATGAACTTATTCGGCTCGAAGGAAGGACGACGAGGGTATAGCCGGCAGAGTCCGAATGAGTTGAAAGTAGTTTGGAGGGTGTCTCTCAGTGTTAAAAGGACTCGTTGAATTCTTGTTCGAGCTGGAATTGATGGGACGTCAACAATATTATCAGAGTCGTTAAGATCCTCGGCTGCAAGCTCAATATCATCGATAGGCCTAGGAATACGTCGCCTGGGAAGCGCGGGTCCTGCTAAAGCTGAGTGATCAGTACATATTAGATCCAGGAGCTAAACAGTACGAACTTAAGTCACCGCGCTCAGATCCATTCCCAAAGTTGGTGTCCTCTAACTCTAAATCCATGAAACTTTGTCCCCGTTCTAGGTTTGCATCGAGGGGGTTATGCGAAGCCCCAAGACTGGGGGCATCAAATGACGGGAGAGCCGCAGGTGGGTTGTAAGGGGGGGTTGGTCTTGGATGCGCCCTCGCACCCCTGGGTCTCGCCAGTAATATTCTCTGTTGACACGAATCGCTTCCGTTGAGTATGCCTGTAGACTCGGAGGGGGATCACGAACTTGAATTACTCACCTGTGATGCGTTCGCTGACGAGTTTGAAGCTAAATTAGACAATGCTGCATCTTTCGCTCGTTGTAGTCTCTTTTGAGTTGCAAGGATGCTGGACTTCCTATAAAAGTTGCAAGTTGCACGATGCCTACTAAGTCCTCAAATGTCCGATGGCCTGTCCCACGAGCAACCATGCGCACCACAAGATACCATCGAGAGAAATAGGAAAAGAGTCCAGAAAATTTCCAAGGGCCGCATGAATTACGGTGTAGAGTTGGCCGGCACGTACTATGGTATACCAACTTGAAGAAGCGTCAACGAGTCACTCACGAATGCATGACCGTCAGTCCTCAGAGTACGAGTCAGTGCTCACTAGTATATTTGATAGGAAGTTCAAGTATGCTCACGTGATTATAACGTACCCTCCCGGGAAGTCACGGTTGGTGTGGGACGGGCGAACGACCTCGAGTCGACTGGAGCTGACAAGGTTAGGTTTACCGTGAATACTTCCAAAAGGCAACGATAAATTAATGATGTACTAGTACTAGTACATCTCGTATACATCGCGTATTGCATACATCGCCAAAAAATCAAAATTGTATCCTGCTCGAGAGTCGTATGGTGCTAGAGTCAACGATCATCATGTAGTACTAGTAAAGTTGTCTCTTCTTCTTCTTCTTCTTCTTCTTCTTCTTCTGCGAGGAGAAACCATGTTGTACATATTTGGACAGGGGAGTGATGGGACCCACTATCATATAATGATCAATATTGCAAAACACTTTAGTTTGATAACAAACACCTCACCTCAGGAAACCATGATCATATTCTTCCCTTCTCCCAGCATGGAATCCAAGCATCCAGTGAAGCGTTTTTTGACCGCGTCCGTATCATCAGTGTCCTCCCAGGACAAGCCCCGCTCAGCACCAATCTCTTCTAGATGATCAAGTTGCTTGTCCACCATATTGTGTGCTGTGGTATCGTGTGTATACGCAGCGACGGTGAAGTCAGCGTCATCTTCGAGCTGCTGATAGGAACGTTTGACCATCACTGATTCGAAAAAGGCTGCCTCTGCCAGGCTCTCAAGATACTGTGCCGCATTATCCTTGAGAATTGTTTGAAGAAGTACCGCGTGTCTTTCAGTTGACTCGAGGTCCCATGCTGTTGTGAGAGTGTGCAAGCGCTTGCTTTCAGCATCAGCTCGCTTTGCGATAACAGCTGACTGGAGAATCGCGTCTGACATATGCCGCACACCGTTGTTGAAGATCTCTTTGCCCTGGTATGGTAGTGTTGACATGGTGGGATCTGTGGTATAAATGAGGCGAACATACCTGCTGGACGTCTATCAGACTGAGATCAGCCTCATTGCGCTTCAGAATGTTTTTCTTCATGAAACGGTGCTCTAGGGCTGTAGGGACCTGCCTGCCCGGCTGATAAGGCTTGAATCTCGAGCTAGCCCGCTTTGCGTAGCACGACATATGATATATTACGGGTGGGAGGCATGATACATCATTGGGAGAGTTGGGGTCTGTGGATTTCATTCCCCTACTAGGCTCGTGATGAAGCCGGACATGATGAGCACTGTCATGGATGAATTTACCGTCACTAGACTCGACGACGGGAGAAACAGCAGGAATACCAAGTGAGGGGGGCATTGTTGATGATGGAGATGCGGCTTGTCACTTGGGACCTGAAGTCTTGGTGAATGTTGACTGTTAACAGTTGAAACCTCGTCACATATTTCAATATTAGTGTGAGAATTATCAGCGGGCTTCTAAAGGAAGAAGGTAACTACAGTTAGTAATTCATCAATTGCCCTCGAAGTGCACAGAAAAACAGGAAATGATCCCAGTTCGGTATTCTTGCACCATACCTTGGTATTTCGCATGATCATACCGCGGCATGGTGGAAATGATCTTATTGTGACTGTGTGATTGAATACTATAACTGGCAATGTTACACTTACCTTTGCAAGACTGGCCATATGCGGTTCAGGCCGACAGGGCCGCAGGCTTATCAACGGCAAAATTTGGACCCGGATCTGGGTCCGAACTGTGGCCACGGTGAAGTCCGCACTTCAAACTTTTCCAGACTCAAACAACCCTTGGACCAGGCACTCCTGGACCTGTTATTTCCCCATATAGATCATAAGTGGGAACATGACATAATGCTGAAAGTTGGCCAACACATTCAGCAGACATGGAAGTTTGACAATCCAAAATTGTTTTCTTGCAAAGAAAGGCAGCAGGCAAACAGCGAGGATAGCTAATAGATAGATTCTAAATGTATTGTTAGCTTATTGGTGTTTAACTAATGGTATGTGTACTTGTTGAAGTCGGAGGTATTGGATAGGGCTGGCCACCGTAGGCCGTATTACGGGCACGTACAGTGACGTAATACGGGTGCCGTACCCGTACCGTCGAGGCTTTGGCGCTCTCATTGACGGTTACGGTGTACGGTCATTCGAGTACCGTATAACACTGTACGTTTACGGCCGTATGTACCGTCATACGGGACATACAGTTCTGTCAATATTAGTATAGTGCAATGCCCAATGTGTTTGAGTCGTGTGACTTGGTTTGGTAGCCACGTGCCTTCTTTTGATATCGACAACGACAAAGACCTACTAGCAGCAACACTGACACTATTTGCAGTGCTTGTTCCTGAGCTTCCAACTAACAGCATGCAGATCATCAACCTACCCGTATGTTTATCTCACACTGATCTATAATATATCAAGTTCTAATGTTTTTTATGTCTAGAATAGTCGTTATGTCCAGAACACCCTCCTCAGGCTGATTCTCATACTGGATCTGGGGGGTACTCACCCCGGGCCATCACATTCTTTGATGACTCTAGTGCTAGGTCCTGGCGCTTCTCCCTTCCCCCACCCACTGCTTGTGTTTCCCTACTTTTGGACAACATACTCAATGGCCTCCTTGAGCCGTTCTAATCCTACTGTGGATCAAGATGTTCTTGGGTGTGGGAAACAACAGAAAAATGTTGAGTGCATGAACACTCTTATCCAAGCTGAAGGCGAAGACAATGATCAACCCTTGCACCATCTGCGTCGTCCGCATCGTGTCCCCCGCAAGAAAACTATTCCCAGTGTTGACAATGACAATTTTTTTGCATGTCTTCCAGTTGAGGAGGCCTCCGACGCTGATGATGCTGATTTCACTCAGGGCTCTGATTCCGGCTCTGAGTCATCTTCGTCATCCTCAAACTCAGACAAAAACATCCAGGACCAGGAGATCTCCAATGCGGAGGTGAGTTTGTATTCATCACTTGTAATTATTACTAATGCTCTGCAGCTTGCAATGATATTACCTATGAAGACTGTCCCACCTCGTGGTGGCAACACCGATCCCGATGCTTGTCATCTCTGCAAGAAAACCAGCTCGAAATCTAAGCACAAGACTACTATCAGAAATTCTTCAGCTGCCAACGGACCTCAGCTGTCTAAGCGAGCTCGGGTTGAGGAAGTTGAAGATGATGACAACGATGGTGTGCAGCCGTCATCAGTCCGAAGTCCTGTTGTGATGAAGCACTCAAAGGTATGGATATTGCGGTAGCTAGTGACCACACTAAATCCAGTCTTTTCAGCCACGTAGACCCACCAATCCAATTTACCTGTTTTACGAAGAAGTGTCGAAGAATGCTCACGGCAGCAAGGGCAATGTGGGTGACAAGCACTACAAGTGTTACCATGGTCAGCGAAAAACTTTGACTATCACGAAGGCAATGCGAAGTAGCCTCAATGGTAAGTCCCTTGTTTGAGTTTCCTGACAATTTCTGACATGGAAATGGCAGGTCTTATTGGACATATAAAAACACACTTTCCTGCTATGTATCATCTATATCTATGTCTCAAGGATCGTGTCGAGTCACCTACTGAAGACGAGGTCGCAATCACATCTGGCAAAAAGTCTCTTGACCCCACGCAGGCAGCTGAATATCTCCTCGAGCTTGAAAAGTCCTCAAGCAATATTGTTGATGCTTTCATTCAGCAGAATCAACGAGCGCAGGAAGCTAACTGGGATCAGGGTACATTTGAGTGGCTTCTTGCTGAATGGATGGTCACATGTGATCAGCCATTCAAGGAGGTCGACCGGATTGAGTTCCACCGCCTCCTTGAGGATATGCACTTACGTCAATCACTTCACATTCCTCATTGTCATGCCATGAAACGGCGTGTGATGAAGATGGGGGAAGAGACGGTCGAAAATGTGAAAAAGATGATTGGGGAATTAGACTGTAATGTTAGCATTTCGCTCGATGGCTGGACGTCCAGCAACCTATTTGGGTTCTTGGCCATTGTGATGCACTACATCACCAACGATTGGAAACTCGGTGAGTACTTACTAGTACCTCAACACCATTACTAAATCACCGCACAGAAGAACTCCTCATCCATTTCCATGAGCTTGTGGGTGAGCATTCCGGTGAAAATATGGCCCAAGCGGTATTTGAAACCCTACATCTGTTCGGCCTCAAGGGTCGAGTCCTTGCGATAATGGCCGACAATGCATCAAATAACGACACAATGTGCGAGGAACTGCAAAAGCTGTGTGAGCAGGCATACATCACTTTCAATGCGCAGCAGGCTCAATTACGATGCTTGCCGCATACAACACATCTTTCAGCATTAGTGGTAGGTACAAATTTCGCTTATTTTGTGTCCACATCTGATTTGTTTTCGGTTCAAGTTGTTAGAAGGCATTGGTGCTGTCAAGGCAAGCAAGACAACAAAGAACCACGATGCGTACCAGGATTGTGTGACTGCACCACTCACTCGAGAGCAGGACAATGATGTTGCTGGACAAGAAGATCAACCAGAAGACGAGTCCAAGTCCAGTGAAAATCTTCATCAAGTTCTGTTGGCAGTTGAGAAGGTAAATTCTAGTTTGTTACCAGAGTCAATTCTTCGCTAACAATTTATTTTTAGTTGCGGAAGATAGTCCGTGCTGTTCGTTCTAGCCCTCAGCGTTGTCGAGCTTGGCTCCGAGAAGTCAACCTATCAATGAAGTCGGATGATACATTACCACAGACAGCTCTAATGCTGATTCTTGATGTCAAGACCAGATGGTCTTCAACTCACCAAATGCTTCATACGTAGTCTTACTTTCACGCCCATTTAATTTTACTTATATCTCCAAAGCCGCGCACTTGATTATCGCAAAGTCATTGATGACTTCGTTGCAAAGACACGGGATCTGCGCCACTACGAGTTGACACCTGAGGACTGGAGTGCAATCCAGCTCGTCTCGCACTGGCTTAAGGCATTCTGTTCAGCCATGACACAAATGTCGACGACCAAGTGTTCGATGCTATCGTCTACTCAAGCCATTTTCCGTGGTCTGCAGGAGTCTCTATCTGAATTGCCCAATAATACATCACCTCGTCTCAAGAATTCACTCATCAAGGCACACTGGAAACTGAGTGACTATTACACCAAGTTCGATGAGTCACCGTTGTACATATGGTCCTCTTGTAAGCTGTTTCCTTACTACACCCATCCCAAGGTTCCAACTCATTTATTGACAGTTCTCGATCCCCGAATTTCATATGGAGGGCTATTGGACGACTGTGGTGATGACCCCACCCTCAACGTCACTTAGAAGGGGCAAAAGATCAGTTGCAATAATACTATCAGGTCAACTACCTTGCCTCGCAAGCTACTTTGGCTGTTCCCCAACTAGCGGCAGCAGCAGAAATTGACTCTGGCTCACCACAGAAAGTCAACTTCACAGCGCGATATAAGAAACGGCCAACAAACTTGAAGGACGAACTGGAGGAGTATTATAGGCTGCCATCAGAAGACTTTGATGCCTGTGACCCCGTCCAATGGTGGGCAGGCCGCCACTCACAGTTCGCAAATCTCTCGCGTTTGGCTCATGATATTCTTGCTATTCCTGGTAGGTTAAACCTGCTCAAGCTATTGTCTGTAGGTATATTTAATCCTCTGCACATCATGCAGGATCTGCCGTCGCTGTTGAGCGCATTTTTTCCGGTGGCCGTGACACTATTTCTCTTCACCGTGCCAGTCTGCAACCTAACACAATCAGGACTTTGATGTTAGTCAAGCAACGGCTGTGCTTAGCTCGTAATGGCATCACCGTAATTGATTGATCTATACTATGGTTGTATTAGCATGATGACTTGATTTTTTGGTCTCCCATATGCCCGTACAGCTGTCCGTATACCCGTAAAGTGACCTGTGCCGTACCGTCGAGGGTTTTGAGCAAGCCGTATGTTATACGGTACGATACGGGTGGTACCCGTAAGGCCACCGTAACTTGTACGGTCGTAACCGTATACGGTTACGGTGGCCAGCCCTAGTATTGGACATGTTGGATGGAGACGTGTGGTACGAGCACGACTGATCAACAGAGGCACAAACAAGTGACGTCGAGTGTCACTTGACGTCCATATACCAATGTTTCACTCTTCTGCTCTCCTTACAATGCTAATATATGTATCGTGTTGATATTACCTTATAGACTATGTTGATAGCGAACAAGCATATCAGTCCCACAAACAGAGACTGAGATGTGAGTTCTTACATTTGAACGTACTTTAGACTGCACACTGATTAAAACAAGTAGATCGTGTGTATCTACTTAGGTACTGTACATGGACTAAAAGTCCCACAAACAGAGACTGGGATATTATGTCTATCTACTTAGCTCCCGCCCGACCTGCTTGCCTCTAAACTTTAGAGGTTATGAGTCCTGTCTTGACCATGGATACTTCGCTCCCCAGCTCCAATTCCGCGCTTTTCAACATCCCAAAGCTCGCTGACAATGGCCTGAATTGGATAACCTATGGAGGAAGAATGTCAATGGTGATTGGCGCTTGAGGCCTGATGTGATATATTGATGGTTGTAAGACAAAGCCCGTTCCCTTCAACGTTGATCTGTCAACAGAAATACCGACAAAGCCAGATGGCATGAAGCCGACAGATTCGAAAATAGAGGACCTAGATGATAAGATAGATGAATACCAGCAAAAGGACTCACTGGTAAGACCACAAATCTTCAGCACCATTTCCGACCAGCTCTTGCTCTGGGTCCAGAATCTAGGCAGTGCAGCCGCCATCTGGGATGAGGTCTGCAAGATCCATGAAGGGAAAACAGAGTAAGTTCAAATAGACCTTCACTGCAGACTCCAAGAGTTGAGATGCAAGGAAGGAGGTGACAAAGTGGACTTTGGAGAGCAGCTACACCTCTGAGAATTGCTTGTGGGGATGGTATAGAATTTTCGGTTGCTGAAACACGGTGAATTGGTAGTCACACTCGTAGTGTACTACACGAAAAATGTCCTACTGTATGTACACCGACACTTTAAGGTTTCAGCCACTCAGCTATTTCCGAGTCACGCTCATCAAGCTTCACTAAGTCCAACAGATGGGCACTAGTATAGACAACCACAACTTCTATGTGATCATGTTGGGCTCATTGCCTGAATCCTACTGCCCATTGGTCTTGTCAATAAACATAGCGGAGAAAATAGCCCAGAAGGTACTTGCTCCCTATGAGTTGATCAGTGTGGTCACCGAAGAGTACAAGCACTGTCAGCTCTCAGAATGTTGTACTGGGAAAAAAGGCAGTAACTCAGCTTTTACGGCTAGAGTCACCCATGGCAGGAGCTGCAAGACTGGTAGCTCAAAGCAGCAGAATGCAGACGTGCTATGCTACAACTGTGTAGTGTTCTGCATGGGTAACCCGTGGGTATTTTTGACTATACCCATACCCTTACCCGTGAAAACCCGTACCTGTACCAGGGGTAGGGTTTTTTCATGGGTCAGATGTTCATACCCTTGGGTGTACCCATACCCGTACCTGCAGCAGGTAACCCGTGGGCACACCAATAACACTAAGCACGAGTCTGTAGTTATCCGAGCCACTACTAGCATGAAATAAATTGAAAATTTTAATCTATGATGTCCCAGCCTTCTTCAAGCTCCTCATCGTCTCCTGCAACCTCTGGTAGAATTGTGACAGCGGTAATGTCCTTGTTCTTCACATAGCCCATTAGACTCCAGTTTCCGAGACAGAGGAGAGCCCGTGTCCACTGTGCAGATAACCGGTTACGAACATGAGACAAAATGAGGTGGCCCTGACTGAAAACACGCTCAACATCAGTTGATGTCACTGATGTCATTAGCAAGACAACACCATTGCCATAGTATAAGTTAGTAGCTCACCGGGAATCAACAAGTAGTCGAGCGCCATGCGGGATAGACAAGGGTATACTGATTTTCGCTCATGCCACCAGAGAAGGATGTCCCTCGCTTGCTCTGGATCGGTGCTGAGGTAGTGTGAAACTTTGTTGAGCATTTCTGCAGCACGTGGAGCAGCAAGGGAGGGCAGATCATCAAATATATTAAGTACCTAGTATAGAAGATCAGTTACACACCAGCAGTATCAAAAGTGTTTAAACAAAATGTACCTTGGTCTGCTCGTTTACAGGTGCGGGTATATCCTCATGTACACCAGATGCATGTAGTGTGGAATAGGACTGATTGAAGACATCCCTCATGATCTCCTCTGTAGTATCAATCCAGGTGTGCTCCCAGCCAGCACACTTGAAATATGTTAAGTTTGTGTCGGGGATGTAACACTCTCAATAGATAGCATCATTATATTAGTAGTTATAACCATTCTGAAAGAAAAAGACTTCATACTTATAGTAATACAATATACTTCAGATTGATCTGTAGTATTGTAATAGTGGTTGAGTGTTTTCTTGGTGATCCCTAGGGCAGCATGAATTGATAGTTCATAATCACGATTAAGGGAGTGGTTGGTGAGCATTTTGTCAATGTGATCCATTGCAGGGATCACAGTCGCAAGACTGGGATGATGTTCATGAAATTGTCGAGTTCTGACTCGGAAGAGGGGCTCGAGAGAGAGTCTGTGCTAGAGTCGTTGCCTTGCACTACGTGCTCATAAGTCGCCCTGGCTAGGGCAAGTGCAGTGTTATCGAGGGTATCCAGTATCTGTGCCCGGTTGCTTAGATGAGGCATAGTGAGGTTCGAGGGATCAATTCCCCTATCTTTGCACTGGCTGATATGAGGTTGGTTGTGGCGGAGATTGAAATTCAGGATGTTCCGGCAAATCTGTTTCCAGCCAGCTCACGCCAAGGAGCTGTACCTCATGACCGACATCACGATGTCAACGACGACCATGGGTACATCAACTCCACAAATCTGTGGCACGCATCAATGATTCACCCAACAAATTCAGCCTATTTCCACTGTTTACAACCACCACAATTCTTATCCACTCTCATTTGCAATCTCTGGCATACTAGTAGGTCACACCCTTTCTGACGACAACATCCAGAAAGAGTCCACTCTCCACCTTGTTCTCTGTCTTCGTGGCAGTATGCAGATCTTTGTCAAGACCATCATGTTGGAGGTGAGTCATCCAACACCCAGCATCCTCCTCCCCCCAGCACTCGGCCTCAGCTTCCTGCCAGCAGCACCTCATTTCCCCCTTGCAAGCAGCCCAAAGACGGTCACACTCTTGTAAGGATAGTATATCCTTTACGCACCGTCCCATCTTCAAAAACAAGGCGTTCGAACTTCTTACAAGTAGAACACATCCACGTGACTCACTGATGCGAAGAGCTCAACTCTTCGCATCCGAGTTACGCGGATACATTCCTTCTTACTCTCCTCCCTTACTGTACCATGCGCTCTCATTCCATCGTCACCGTGTCTCGCCGACTCTTTTTTCTAGTTCCACATGCTACCTACTCGACTCTCGCTTTAATCGTTCGGATCCCAAACACTTATATACCGCA